AAGCCTTCTATGGCGGTTTAGTGTACACCAAATGTATAAACGAACAACGGAAATGACGGTTTTAATCTTTTCTATTATCATAATAATATACACAGACATTATTAGTCAATTATGTATCCAATGGGAAGCAGGATCATCTACAATGCCAACTGTTGACATTTTAATTCCTAATTCCGTTAAAAATTACAGGAAATAAACTATATTTAAGGAAATAACCGATTGTCTTATTGTTATTTCATTTTTCTTGTAAGTCTAAAGTCTGTAGTGTCGTAAACTTTGTAATCAAACAAAGAGTTGAGATTAAACGTTCTTCCAAATAAAGGCACAACCGTAATCGAATACCGTATCTAAATAGCATGTATTCTCTATTTAAAAGAATAAAGAGATCAGTTTTCAGATCTAGCCTTTACAGTCGTGCGTGAGCGCAACCAACAATGAGTCGGTTTCCGTTATGCGTTTCGGTTTTCGTACTGTCGACAATAGTTAGGTACATAACGGTGTTTGAGACATTTACGATATGCTGCATGACGCTTCTTGAGGATGGAGAGGTGAGAATGTTGCAATGTATAATATTTGTAAATGTACTTATAGTGTAAGTACACAAGCAACAAACCGATTTTGACCTTGTTGAACAACAATTTTTATACAGACATATAATTAAATATCTAAGTCAAGTATCCTATGTCAGTGTATATGTAGTGTAACATTTATCACAACTTTTTTAATTTGTTTCACTACTAAATTTGTAGTGCCAGCAACCAGCCTGCAGTTGCAGATAACAGAATTTAAACTCGTAAGCTACTGTTTTCAATCTTAATTTACTTCAAATGCTCTCTAGTTGGCCAAAGTTGGCCAATTGCAGCCAATAAGTTGGTTGAAATGAGCTGACTTCCTATCATGTGAACAAGACAGAATAAAAGTAAAATATATTTATTTATTATTACAGTAAATCATTGAAGCTGTTCCAGATATAACAAAGCACAATATAAAAATACACACAGGTACAGTACAGTACAAGAACAGTATTGAGTGCGATCTGTGAATTAAAACAGTCAAATACTGTCATAGTATTTTTTAAGGAACCTTTAGATCAGTTCAAAATGTACATAAAACGTATGTAAGCTATTGAATATACATTTTATATCACTTATTTATAAAATTTAAAACTTCCTATTCATTTTAAGTTTTTTTTATGTAACATGTACTTTCCAATCTTGTTTTGGTAAGCAACTTTTTAATTCTACATGTAAACCTGTTATTAGGCACTTAGGAAAGAGGCAATTAAAAATTATTCACATCTTAAATAAACATTATCTTTATAGGTATCTAGTAGCAGGCAGTTATCAATTTTGATGTTAAATTTATTAAAAACTTCCTATTCCTATAGTGAACTTGTATATAGAATATTAGAAAAGTTTCTAATTTTCTATATACAAGTTAAGATATGGAACATATGTAGTTTAATCCAGACTAACAGGTAATAGATAAACATTAAACTATTTACTTTTGTGAAGCTCTTTGTTGAAAATTTGACCATAATATACACTGATGACTGAACTTAATGTCAAAGAACCTGACTGCTAACCCAGAGGTTGTGGGTTTGATTCCCACCCGGGACAAATAATTATTTGATGATATCATTTGTTCTGTAAGTATATTTATCAGCAGTCTGCTTACCACAGTATCAGCTCTGCCCAGTTTGAGATCAGATGGGCGTATGTGAGATGTGTTAAGCTATTATTACACTATAAATTAAGTAATACTCTGAAAGATTTTATAAGATATAATGATAAGTAGAAAATGATTATTCTCTAAATTGCAAGTTATTATGCTTAGTTAATTTTGCTTCTATAATAATAATATTCTATCACATTCACACAACGCCGTCTAGTCAGAAACTAAGCAGAGCTTTTACTATGGCTACCAGACAACTGATATAAATTTATATATACTTCTGTTTTTTGTCAATACATATTATAAATAGACACACCCAGACCAAATCAAACATTAAATGTGCATGTACACAAATGTTTGACTTGAGCGGGAATCGAACCCGTGACCTTTGGAATAGCAGTCCATTACACAAACCACTACATCATCCAGTTAATGATTAGTCAATAACATTTTTTTCTTAGGGTATATTAATACTGTATATGACTTAAAGGCTGTATATTAATTCAATCTTTGTGATTTAGTAATATTATTGAGATATTCAACAAAATACAATAATGGCTATAGAGTAATCCGTTTAATGTATGGTGGTTTTAAATTATACATATAAAGTGATACTTGTATGTAATTTCAATCACTTATTACACTTTTAACAGGATGTTATAGTGGCATAAATTATAAGTACTTATTGTATTTTTTTTTTTTTAACAATAATATCTTGTAATTATTAACCTATATCAATATTGGTAATAAACTAAATTCTATAATTATTCATTAAATGCTAAATTTTTTGAATTATTTATTATAAAATAAAGATGGTAATATTGCTTGTGATTTTATTAACCTGTATTTCTAATTTAGTTATTTATTGCTTCCAATATAGTCTTGTTGGTGTCTTCTCCGAAAATGTATAATATACCTAACTACAGTTTGAAATTAAAACTTAATTTGATATTTTTAGTACCATATGTAACACAACATTCTTCTATATATTATATACATTAAAGTCCTTTCATTTGATTCTACTAAGTTCACACAACTTAATTAAGTGATAGGGTTGTGCATATATTACATTTCAATTACACCCCTATAAATATTCATTTTAAGTTTTGGTAGATTTATACTTACATCAGAATCTAAACAGAATCAAATAAGAATTTCATATATTATGTGGTGGATAAAATGTAGACCAAATAGAACCAGTGTGGTGCTTTGATAATAGATTTACCAGTAATTATAGTAAATATTTTTTTATACAAAAGGTACTATAAAGTTGTATTATGTATGTATGTTTAAGTTATATCAAGAGTATTTTACGCTTTACATGCCACGATAAAATAGTAAAAGCCATCAATTACGCTATGAATAACACAGGTAAAGAAGTAAAATAAGTATTATAATAGCGCTCCAATTGGAATCAGTTTATATTAGTCGAGTCATATGTTTACGTCGCCGTCGCACCGACAAACTCTCAGTTTGACGGCACGAAAATCAACACCAAACTAATTATAAACCTGCATAGCATCCAGCTCACATAACTGAACCAGCTTTATCAGTACAAAAACGAGAAAATAATAAAGTTATTAGAAACTCACACAATATTATCGAACGTTTCGTGGGTATCGCTCGTATAGAAAGCGATCAACGGACACCGCTCATCGGCGGGAACCAGTAATTTTCCACTTTGCGTTTCTACACAAGAACCACAAAATCTTAGCAAGAGCCTTCCTCACCTCTCTAAGTCAAATTTCTGACAGTACGATCCCACTATCATGCTGAAGAAAGCAAATGAAAGCAGACAAAGGGTCCTTCAAAACACAGCCATTTTGAAACCGTTCATACGAAATGTTACGTGTACCGAAGCGTACAGTTTAAAGGATCCAGAAAGTAAACCGGGTTATCCGTTCGCACTCATTTTTGTTTTTTACCACAATAAAAACTATAAACACTTAACATTTCACACACTGGATTTCACTTCATACTTTCGCACACACCCGCAACGTCACACAAAGTCCCCGACTACTATGTACATATCTCTTATTCTGTATGTCTCCGACGGACGAAAACGACAAACACGAATGGAGCTGCGGATTGCGTGCCACGAAAAATACTAAAGTTGCCAGAGTGAATCTCAAATTCTACTAAAACAACTTCACCATGAACAAAATTCGTTTACGTTAACCCCTATCGCAGGGCGGTCACAACTCCCATAACCCCTCACAGCTGGATAACTTGTTAAACAATTTCGTTCAAACCACTCCCGTATATGTATATTTTTTATCCTAGTGCGCTAATGGCGTTTTAGTATTCGAGTCAAGTTAGATTTTATTAAAACCTCACAAGTCACTTACTTTTAATTTAATCGAAGATTAACACAATTTGAGTGATGAAGTGATGGAAGGTAGTTTTTAGAAAAATGACGGCAACAGCTTTGGTCATAATCAGATTTTCACCTTGTATCAACATCCAAACAATCAGTGACATTTGGCGAAGATGAGCAGAACAACGCAGTGACTATTAATATTATGTATTACTATTATTATTTATGTCATGTCTAGAACACATTTCAAGGGGATGAGTGATTGATTACCATGAGTGAAGGTTGTAGATTAAATTTATGTCGTTGATATTTCACAGTATTAGAATGAAAGTAATCAGAATGTATTTTATTTAAAGTAAAATTTTCATTTTAAGTAAATAGTCAATTTCTGTCACAAATTCACAATAATTCACTAAAGTGGTAGAGTTTTTATTTTCTGACAGCCCTTTTTAACAAGCCAGTATTGCCATCAATTGCCATTGTCCTATTTATACTTCTCCTTAGTTTCTACGTGGCAACTTTAATTAATTTATTTAATTGTATCAATTTTTGCTTTCAGTTAAATTACATGAAATTTAAAAACAAATTTTAATTTTCAATAATTTTACAAAATTACATATACAACAAAAGGCGTTCCGTGTTCTTTATTTCTCTTGAACAAGTTTTGATATCTATGGTCATGCGCGCGTTATTCAATTTAGTTGCTTGGCAACGCGATAATATTCCTAAAAGCACAGTTGTATTTGGCCGATTTTGGTAGTGGGCAGGTGGCAAGTGTCCTAGGGAAGTAATCATTTTCTGACATACGCGTAACATCAATAAAATAGAAAAAATGGTAATCAATAGTTAAAAAATTGCACTCATTTATTAGGTATTGCTACTTAGCAGTACCTTTGATCATGTCGATACTTACAATGATTTCGTAAACTTTTTAATTATGGATAAACGTGGACGTGAAGTTACATAGCCAAATACAATGTGTTTCAGTGCCCTTAACTTTCCAACCAGTATGTTGAAAATAAATATTAAATTTATAGTTTTTCATTATTTCGTTCTTGTGTTTGGCGACGATTACGAAAATGATGATAAACGTAAGTACATACAATACCTGCCCTTTTTTTTTTCAATTATTTTATGCTTGTCACGTTATTTTTTTATTACAACGCACATATTTTATCATTTTCTACTTAATTTTAACCGACTTGAAAAACAAATAGATTTTCAATTCGACTATATTTTTTTGTAGTTGTTTGTCCATAGTGGTAGTGTAAAAATTACCGTTAACTATATATTCATTATTATTTTAAGTACTTACAAACCCTATATAAATTTTACAAATTCTAGTAGGTAAAACAATCAATCTTATCTATGAAACAATAAACAAAAAATAAATATTATTCTTACAACATATTCTTCTACATTTACTTAGAAAGCTAAGGAGGGGCCTATGTCCAGCAGTGGACTATTAAAGGCTGTTGATGTGATGTGATATACTTTTATCCTGAATATTCATGATAACAATATTATTTAATATCTGCCGCTACTATAGGCTTCCTAAATGCCTATGTTTTCTTAGGCTTAAAAAGTAAATCTTATAAGATATTCTACAGATGAAACAGAAAATGGGTTTTAGGAACCTTAATAAGTATAGTGAAATGAATATCCATAAGGAGCAATCGATAAAGGAAACGAAATCATTAGGCAGATTTCTGAAATCGTCTGCAGATTTCCAAAAAAACACCAGTGTGCCAAATAGAGAATGAAAATAATCTATACTAATATTATAAAGCTGAAGAGTTTGTTTGTTTGTTTGAACGCGCTAATCTCAGGAACTACCGGTCCGATTTGAAAAATTCTTTCAGTGTTAGAAAGCCCATTTATCGAGGAAGGCTATAGGCTATATATCATCACGCTAAGAATAATAGGAGCGGAGCACCAATGAAGAATGTTTCAAAAACTGAGAAAATTTATTACTATTGAGAGACGCAGACGAAGTTGCGCGGGTCATCTAGTATACTATAACTAGCTGACCCGGCAAACGTTGTTTTGCCATATACATTATTTCAAAAAAATTGTAAAAAAAAAAATAGGGGTATGAATAGATGTAGATCGATTCTCAGACCTACCCGATATGCACACAAAATTTCACGAAAATCGGTCGAGCCGTTTCAGAGTAGTTCAACCACGCACACCGTGACACGAGAATTTTATATATTAGATTAAAACAACGATCAGGAGTGTGTATTATACTTAATTCTGAGGCAGAAAATAGGTAAAAATTTTGTAAATATTTTGGCTCTGGGACCCTAATTTATTTGGTACCAAATAAGGAAACGATCGAACTAATTAGGCAGATATATCGATTTAATTCTATTCCGACAGGTAATAAAGTACATTATTTTTTACAAAACTTTAAATAACAACAATTTTCCTGAAAATATGTGTTCTATTTTCAAATTTGAAAAATTCTTAATCTAATTTGAAAAAAATAAGAAATAAATAAGCAATAGATTTAATAAAGGGTACGAATTTCTTTCCTACCATTGTAAGTGCATTAATCGAATAAAATAGCACAAAAGAACACATTAAAGGCTGACTCGGAGAAGTATTTGTTAGTTATTTTCATTTACTTCCCACATTGACTCATGTAGGTCTGTAGAATTTTAGAACACACATCCTGTCGGTAACCAGAATTCGTGTCCAAATAAAAAATCTAACATAAAGGCATATAATAGCGCTGTAATGGCGGTGGTTATGCGGAGCTCTGCCTTTGCGTCTCTTTTGTATTCCATGCGACAGCGGAAATGCGGGACGCGGTCTGCTGAACGTCATTTTCCCTGCGTTTTGATGAATTAATATTTTATTTTATATTATTTATTCTTTTATAATTAAACTTCCTATCCTTCTGTGATCTTCTTATATAACAAATATCGATTATCATCATCAGCAGTCTTTAATAGTCCACTGCCATCTGGACATAGGCCTCTCCTTAGAAAGGAGGTTTTGGTCTACTATACCACGCTGGCCAGACGGGTTGGTATAGGGTTTGTTTCAAGTTTTCCTCTGTTTCATATCTTCCCTGAATTTCAAAATGTCTACTACTTTCAAGCGTTCTAATGAATTATTACTTTCACATATTGAAAGAGGAAAAAAAACTTGAAGCTCTATCAACAGTTTTAAAAGCAAATTATAATGTTTCTGAAGACGACATGTATTTTATTATCAGTGATATTCAAAGGAATCTTATTTCTCGCTTTAATAGACGACGGGAAAAGGATACATTTTTTTAAAAGTACGACGAATAATATTTGGCAACTTTACCGAACTCAGAAGTAACACCTGATATTACGCCATCTGCTTCTTCTGCAAAATATGGAAGACCCTGTCTCTCTTATGGGGACTCGTCAGAATCAACAAAAAAAGAAAAAATCCCGCGCTACTCCGTAAATATGGCTTAGAACACATTTACAATGCCTTTGTTCGGGGATTACATTCAATAGGAGAAGGAATAGAAACAAAACTCATGGAAACGCTAAAGCTACAAAGTCTCTATATATGAATCTTATAGATAACGCAAGACAGAGCAAAATGCTAATGGATCACGAGGCATTAAGTGTTTTCATTGATTTAGATTTAACAAAAGCAAAATATATGTATTTAAACAATTTATCTAACGAACGAAGCTGTTATATATGCCCACCATATTATAAAATACAAGTAATCAAACAAAGATGTTATCCACCATCTTGAGCAGTAGAACTTATAAATACCCATGCAAAAATACTGAATCTTCAAGATTTATTGGACATTTCAGTGTATAAGAATGGATTGAGCCATTTAGTTTTATACAGTAAATGGGGATGTGATGGTTCATCTGGTCAAAGTCAAAGGTACAAACAAAAACTTCCAGAGGTGTCTTAACTTGTTTCTGATGTTAATTAGTTTATTACATCTTTAGTGCCTATCAAATTAATGAATGAGATATCGGGCGATATTGTCTGGCAAAATTCAGTGCCATCGTCAGTCCGTTATTGTCGGCCTATATCAATAGAATTTTGCAAAGAAACTCCTCAAAAAACTAAAGCTGTTGTGGATGAAATAAACAACCGAATCATTTCCTTAGGGCCATCGTTGATTAATAAAGAAGGTGAAGGAGTGAATATGAAGCATGAACTCTTTATGACAATGGTAGAAGGCAAAGTAGCTCAAGTATCAACGGATGCACCTTCTGGTTCCACATGTGAAATTTGTGGAGCTATTCCACGGCAAATGAATAATCTGTCTAAATGACTGCTAGGCCAGACAATGAAAATTCATATCAATACGGGCTTTTTACATTGCACGCCTGGATTCGTTGTATGGAAATGATATTACATATTTCATACAACCTCTCTTTTTAAACTTGGTCAGCCACAAGTGAAGAGAGGAAACAACAAAAGCAAGAAAGGAAAACTCTAGTCCAAAAACGTTTTCGTGAGGAGCTTGATTATCGACAAACCACGTCATTATATTGACCATGACATGATAACCGTCATTGGTATTACCACTTACTTGAAGATTTTTTTACAATGCAGACTGTTCTGCTAACATCACAGGGGTGGATGTAAATTTGATTAAACCGTTGTTCATAATTTTACAAACTCTTTCATTAGGTGTAACGATAATCAGACGACCGGATGGCGTAGTGGTTTGTGTAATGGACTGCTATTCCACATGTCGCGGGTCCCATTCCAGATCAAGTCAAACATTTGTGTGCATAAACATTTAATATTTGATTAGCTCTGCTTAATTTATGACTAGAAGGCGTTGTGTAAATGTGGAAAAAAAACTGAAAAATTTGGAAAATATGCCATGGAAACTGCCAGAATCTATGTCAGTAATTATGAATGTTAATACATGACGTCTTCAGTTCACAAAATTCTAATTCACGGTGAAAGAATCATTAAGCATTTTGCTGTGCTTCCTATTGGTCAACTTTCAGAAGATGCCCAAGAATGCCATAATAAGGATTATAAAAAAATTTCGCCTCCATCATGCCAAAAAGTGCTCTCGATCAGCTACAAATGAAGATGTATTTTATACTCTGTCTCTACACATCAGATCCATACATTTCCAGCCTTAGAAAAACATATAACAAAAGTGTGAAGGTACTTGATGAAGATACCCTAGATTTTTTTAAAGTGAACAAACTTATTTTGGATCCCTTAACGCACAGAAGCGTGATGTCCACATTATTATACTTATTTTTATAGTATATTTTATTTATAAGTTAGTATTTTGCAACTTTGAATATTTTATGAAATAATTTTTGTAATCAGTTGCTTTATTATTTTATAAGACTTATAAAATAATAACTTTTTATTCAAAATATAAATTGTGTTGTGTAATACTTAAAAAAAATTAGTATCTGAACTTTATCTGAAGCCTTATATAATACTTTAGGCTTGCGCAAAAAATCTTGACAAATAAAAAAGTTATCGATTTTTGATCTGAAACAGACCTCGACTTTCCTTAGTGCACCGCTCCTGAGCTGAGCTTGATGTTACATAGCCCATGAGCTTCCTTAATGAATACACTATCCAATATGCAAGTTTAAAAACAATAAGTGCATGACAAAAAATATTTTTGTTTACTTTGTTTGAATTTTGTAAAATTGGTACCCAAAACAATATGTTGAACATATTGTTTTGGGTACCAATTTATCGCTACATATATCACCCCAAGAATAAAAATAAAAACATCACAATCGCAATATATTTATAATTGCTGTTTGCATAACCCAGTTATAAAAAGAATTGTCTAAAGTACAAAGCAAGGTACAAAGATAAGTCAGTCCACTGTATTCCTGTCGTGATATGCCACGATAAAATCGGTGCCAAGCGGTGCAGCGAACGTTTTTCGCGTTTTCTGATGTTATGCTAATGTTTCAAGTTTCGGTATTACTTGCAATTTTATCTATAAGTACATTATATTATCTGTAGAGTTATTGTTCAAATTTTCTTTGTTAATTACCCTTTTATGAGAATTAATGGTATCACACTTTGTCGGTACTACGAGTACATATCATGTTCTAACTTTCGCAGCCTTAGCTCACAAAGCGTACTTCTTACAACTGAGTCCTTTTTGAGAATTTTAGTACAAAAAAATATCTGTGCTCTATGGAATAAAATATTGACATGAAATGAGTTTTTTAATACACAAGTTTGCTACCGTGAGATAAAACTCTAACTTCGCGGTGAAACAGATATTTTCTTGTAAATAAAACATATAAATATAGAAATAAATACAACGTGTGATGATAAGACATAATAACATTTTTATATTATGTAACAAATATTCTACAATGCGTGTATTATTGAGGAAAAGAGGAAATGCGCTTCATTACGTATAAAGTTTTGGGACTGGTACGAGTTGGCGCGAATGCTTATGTTTTTGTAATAGTGCATTTGAAAAGCGAAAGGCGATTGTAACATAATATCAAAAAAACATTTGTGATAAACTTAGATTATTTTATAAATAATCTAAGGTGATAATTAGCATATAGGGAACAAGCCCGAACGACCGAACTTGCGATAAGAATAAACTGATTTAATAATGCGACCGTTTTGCTGGTCAACTAATGAAAAGAGTGACACAATTGAATCCTCGTATATGTGTTATAAACAAGTAGAGTATCAAGTGTTTTCAATATTTCTTGACTTTTAAAGTAAATATTAATTTACTAAAATATTAATAAATATAAAATTTCCTACTTGAACAGTTATCCAGTTAAACAGTTATAGTTTATCTTTACTCGCGATTAGCTTACCGGTTTTACCAAACAAGAATCATAGTAAGTTTCAGTTACAGGGAGGGCCAATAAACGTTATTCGGCAGATCACGCGATGTTTTAACCGTGTTTGTTGAACTGTCAACAAGCCTGCAGTAACTATGCTTACAGTCTTAGGAACCCCCCTCTAGTAAATAAAGTACCAACGGACTACACTTTCTACATACATACATACTCGTATTATGTACCTAGGTACTTAAAGGAACTTTAAAGGAACGCATCTTATCCTTACCTGTTATGTATACTTTTGTATGCATAGTAGGTAAGGATAAGATTGTATTGTATATCTAACTAGCTTTTGCCCGTGGCAAGTAGTCTATGTATTTCCTTAAGAATCAAACTACCTCAATACGAAATTTAATCCAAATCGGTTTAGCGATTATTGATTTCCACTATAAACTTTCACACCGCTTTTCACCCCTTTAAGGTATGATTGCTAGGATAAAACTATCCTATGTCCTTTCCCGAGACTCAAACTATCTCTATACCAACTTGCATCTAAATCGGTTCAGCGGTTTAACGTGAAAAGGTAACAGACAGACAGACAGACATACTTTCGCACTTTTTTTTTAAACCTATGACTCTTAATAAACTTAAGTAGTATTAGGTGTAGGATGAAATACTATTGTAGGATTGAAAACAGTTGTGGTTATTAACATTTGGTCTTCTTATTTCGTCAACCTTTTTGACGGGGTGGAAAATCCCTTCGAATCTCCTGCTCGTAGGGGGACACAGGTACGTGACGTTTCCATTAAAAACTACCCCGACGGCCAACCTCAGGCCTACTCAGGGGTGGACCCGGACCATATGATTTCAGGTCCCCCGGATCGACGCCACACCTGCTAAGCCCCATCCCGAGAGAAGCCAAACGTAATCATTTTGGAATTGAATAAACCGATTAATCGACTTTAAGAAGTATGATTTGAAAGTGGGAGGAGTGTAATAGATATTATTTTACTTTACTATGTTCTGCACTAGTTGCAATCAATAGTAGGTAAATCGATAGTCGTGCAATGCTAGCATTGGTTAATATTTTATACTTTATTTTATTAACTTTACGTGCTTGAATTCTTAATTACATTTGAGCCTTTGAGGCACTAAAGTTTTAGGGAACAATGCGAACATGCATTAAAGTAAAGGAAACTAAAATAAACAATGGTTACGCTACTCTCAATTCCCAATAGGTCACTCCCCTATGATCTCACCTCACTCACTCGCTACTCGGTGAAAAACAACGAAATATTCTTCTGTGAGGCTGTGGTATCAGTCTTGGCGAGCAGATAGGTCGCAATCATAGGTGTAGTGAATTTCTGGCATTGGGCTTAATCTGAGGGTCGTGAAAATATTTTTGGACGGATGTTTTTATTGGAACGAAGTTCCTTATCGCGCGTTGTATGCTCTGAGCGGATGGGATTGAGACCGAAAAAAGTGTATCAAGACTTTTTTCTGATACTTCTTGCGCACGTCTACAAAAACCGAAAGGAATTTCATTCCGACTCCTCACGCCATTTTTTTATTTTATTCAGACTGCAGCAGTTACAACTAACTACGAATTTTAAAGCAATTTATAATTTTATTACAGTCAAGCTATTACCCGTTGTTTCGTTCAAGTGGCTCTTTCTTATTTCTAACTTTGAAAATGGCGAACTTCCGTACAGCTAATCATCTTTTATTTTACCCCCCTTTTCGTTCGCGTGAATTTAAAAAGCGCTGCCTTAGTGAGTTCGATTCCCGGACCAGGTAAAATTTTATAGGGTTTTTCTGAGAGAAAAAATAGCCTAAGTTATTCCTTGTAAAGACATCTACTCGGTAGTAAAATATTATCAAAATCAGTCCAGCCGTTTTGAAGATTACCCGTATCAAACAAACAGACAGACAGAAAAAATATTTTAAACTGCTTTTTAGACATTAGGTATCGTGCAAATAACCGTGCAAGCATGAAAAAACCTATAATTTTGACATTATAAACAGACAATTAAATTTTATTTATTTGTATAGAAGTGGTATTCATTTTGTTTACGCTTAGATTAATGTTATAGGTACCAATTAGTACTTAGGTAGGAATATTTTTTTACCACCATTATAGTAATCTAATCAGTAACTCGTATACTTTTTAATACTTGCACTATTCAAAAAGCCAGCCAGTCTCAGAGAGCCAGCAACAATATTTGTTATTTACGCATGACAAATCAACTGACCTTGCATGAATGAACCTTGACGCACATTTACATGGGTTTTATGTGGTTGTTATGATAACATGAATAATATCTGAAAATTAAAAAAAAAATGAAATTGATTAATTAATATTGAACTTTTAAAATTACGATTGCCTCTAAAATTATATCTGTAAAACACGGACGAACTCTAATCACCAAATGATATGGACACCAAATAGTTTTAAAAATCCTTTCAAGAGCAGACAGTAAGATGTTGAAGACGATCACAATACATATCTCATATCCAGTGGCTGGCTCAGCTGTTGCGAGGCCCCGGGTTGGTAGATATTGTGAGGCTCGGGCAAGCAGATCATTGCAAAAGCTTGGGCTGATAGATCCTCCTAAACCTCCTATGCCTACTCCTTTATATGTACCTTACAATACCTGACGTAATAACGAACTTTTATTTTAGTGTATATGCTGGTATCGCCCGATCAACATCAACGAACACCTCGCCTGGAAGATTTCTTTTGGACGGGATCAGGAGACGGACCGCCGCCACCACCAGACCCCCCTCTGCCAGTTCCAGTGCAGCCATCCACTCCAGAAGTGCGGACTACTACCGTTCTCGCTACTGTCTACTTGGATTCTTATCCGCCACAAGTAAGTGCCTCCTTTTTTAATTTTATTTAACAGTGGTCTAATATTATCACATAATTTAACGTACGAACTTAGAAAAATAAAATTGCTTAGTACTTCTCCTAACAATAATAGGGTGGTTGCGTTCTTAAATCTAGTTTTGAATTTTCTAAACTCACCCCTAGTTTTACGACATCGGTCCATGATAAGAGTAATTAAGTAAATCATTAAGAAAAGACTTACCCTCTGTTTAATCTATAAATACCATCGCATTTTTCCACTCCGTCCACTGGGATACCCTGCTTAAATCTACTAGGGGATTTATTTGGATTTTTTATGAATGGCTTAATAGAGTTTTCAAGGCATTTTGAGTTGTGTTTGAAAATTGCGATGTAAAATGTATTGATAGATATGAGATTTGACCTATTTACAATATTAGCCATCAATTCTTATTCAATTATTGACATTCAGTTAATTACTATAATTTTATAATATCATCATAATTTTTGCAATCGTGAAGATGGAAAGTGACTTAAAAAACATAAAGCATAAAGGTTTATTGTTACCACATTGTCGCTATAAATACCATATAAAGATAGTTTATACAAACCTTATGTAAAAAATATTAAAAAATGTTGCCTTTTTAATGTGCATTTACATATATATATATAATATTATTATATTTGTAGGGAAAATAAAATTTCAAACATCAGGAAATGAAAGTATATAAAGAGAGATAAATTTAAACAAGAAAAGCAATTAGAGCTAATTGATACGATATACCTACAGCAGATATTAAAGTAGATCATTTCATCGAAAAGTCACTTAAATTTGTTGTCATTTTTTTCCAAAATAATTTCATAACGTATACCCATACCACACCTATTTCTTTTGTTTTATGTAAGAATTAGATGTCGCCCCTCCGGCTTCGCTCACAGCACAGCAGTCGCATACGCTTCTACTGCACCATTTTATAAAGCTATTTTCTATAAAACAACGTACGTATATATCGGCAATTGATTTTCATATATAGATAGCTAATTACCTCTGAAATACAGTTTAGTTCAACTCAAATTTCAACTAGATGAACTAAATGGAACGGTGAGATAATTATAATACTAAGAATAAACATCGTGTTCATTTAAATCGACCAGGGGATCACACTTAATAATGTGGACAAAAAATCCAAATAAATCCTCTTGGGGATCAAAATGGATAAAATTGCAAATAGATCCCCTAGGGGATCGGCGTGGACAAAAAATTCAAATCAATCCCCCAGGGGATTTACGCAGGGGATCCTAGTGGACGGAGGCCGTTTTTCAAGTTCATGTTAATAGTAAAAAATCATGCATTACTTACAACACATTTACAAACCTTCAAATCGCATTCCTTCACGACATTATTTTATGAACCCCTTTATTGCATCATTTATATAGCACCCGTAGATCAATTTTCATCCGCTACTCTAGTTGCTAAGGAATCAAACGCATATCCGATCGTCTAGCAGCTTGTAATAATAATAGCCCTCATCAAATGACCGAAGAAAAGTCCTTATGCATTCGGACCTAGTAACTCACGCACTTTTAGTGACCAGCAGAGTAAAATCCAGAAAAAATATTTTACAAAGCAAAAGGTATACTAGTTATATTATGAACAAAATAGACTACTGAACTTGACTCATCAAATCAGAATACAACAAGACAAGACAACGACGCGCTCTGCAATAGAACTTTTTAAATTTTAATTGTTAATTCATTTGGGTAAATTAATATATCAACCAAGAGCTGAAACAAAGAACCAGGGCTGTAGTGATCCTATATTAACAGAAAAAAAGTAACCTTTTCGGCATGACATAAAACACAATACACTAGGCCTTATGTAATAAGTCATGCTAAAAAGTTTCCTTTTTTCGTATGCTTATCGAGAGATTGACTCCTGTGGCATTTTTAGGCGGTAACAGACAGGTCAACGGGCGAGTGTGTGCTTAACTGTGGGGAACCTGGGGTACCAGGCAGCCTCGAACCAGAAATCCCTGAGGACCGAAGGTACTGGCTGCTTACTGTCATACAGGGATCCACTCCAGATAGCCTGCAATTGAGACTCGCAAGGTTGTATCAGAAGGCTTTCTTGAGGTAATTGACAACTCAAAAATGGTGAATTTTGCTTCGCTATGATACTAACTCAGACTTTTTAGTATGTTTGGTTGTGGGTTAAAATATATCGCTTTTTGTTCAACTTTATAAGATCCGCTCATATTATGTGGACAGCTTACATTAGCTGGAAGTAGTATGAGTGGATCGTTTGCATGTTCTAGATTTTCTCTTTTTTTTCAGACAGCAAGAACGTCATCTGGGTATTATAAAATCTCTAGATGCACCGCCAGCTAGAAAGAAACACGAGGTTCATTCATTTATTGTTAACAGAGATAATGGTCCTGTAAGCCCTCAAAGTTCCAACACTCCCTTCCGTTATTTAGATATCCATAGTTCTATGGTAACTCTTGTGTCGGTACCTAGTACCTTAATTGCCAATGAAGAGTCTAGTAGGCTTGTATTGAATTCTTCCAATGATTTTGGTTATCCAGCAAGTGTAGAAATGTTCTCAATAGACAAAGATACTACATTAGTAAATGCAGAGATCACAGCTACCAAACTAAATGAAGTTGAGTCTTGGATTCTGGCTACACCTTCTATTATTCTTCGTAAGCGAGACGTTACTGATAGAGAAGAACTTGAGGAGATTCACGAAGATTTGATCGATATACCCTTGGAGTCTGAAGGAATTGAGTCAAATGACACCCAGTTGTACAAAAGAGAAATATTAAATCCAGAGCAACAACCGCCTGTTCAAGTTCATATACAAAACATAACAGAGGTAAGTAACATTTTTTTTTGGAATAATTATTAAGTGGATTTATTAGCAGGCCTCGGTACAAATAAACTGATTTGAAAAATTGACAACTATACATATATTAAGACATATCAAAACAATCTGAAAGTCTTTTTGCAAAAGGGATTAGATTATTACCTGAATTTGAAATAAGATGTATTTAAACTCTGACCTCCAAGGGTCGCATTAAATTGGTTTTGAGCCGACTAAGGTTGGTTAATGATCCAGCACCTGATCGATGACCGAGGGTAGAGTCATATGCGGACGGATAATTGTAAACAATTCTTTTTTAGTCCCCAGAAACAGGCAGTGTTCAAATAGTCTATGTGGTATTAGTGGGAGGGAGAGCAGTTCCAGCAGCAGTAGCTGCAAGAGACATGAGGCTTGTGAGAGATGCAGAGGTTGCTAGAGAGTTGGGTGCCGTTGTTACTACAAAGGCTGAGCGTGAGTATGACTGAACATTGCATTAACGAGCCTTAAGGTCAAGTCCGACTGAGCGGCAAAATTGCACTTTAAAACTAAATAAAATCTCAACTTTATTCTATTAAAACAGAGCTGAAAATCGTATGAAAGTAGTATATCGGCGCAACGACTTTATTTTACTTTATTCTTCTATTATTTTATACTTCATGATTAGCCGACACTTTTTTTCTTCAAGAGCTATTGAGCTAACTATAATTTGATAAATTTTCTATCGGGAGAAACTGAATAAAAATATATTTTTTATTACATGCTTGGGATCTTGCTGACGATCACTACGCTTCAGGGTACAACTCTCTGAAGCATTTTACGAGTTATCGACTGAGATGACATAATTGTGTGTGTCGTCCAAAGCTCTTTATTTTCCAGCAGCCTACTTGAAGACGGCTGAAGGCTTGGAAGGCGAGGCTGGAGGAGGGGTACACGGCACTGAATTATGGGCACTCGCAGTAGGCGCTACTATCGCTATACTCCTACTATTAGTGTTATTGGCGTTACTTTGTTTTGCTCACAGGTAAACTTGTTCATTACTTGTCATAACTTTATACATCTAGTGTATATCAGTCAGTTAGTTAGTAGCCATTGAGTGGAATTTTTAAGTATTCCAAATATCATCCGCAGGAAAAAGAGCATGAAATCCGCAGCCTCTCTCCGAGCATATAGAGATGAACTAATGAGAGAGGCGGAGAGGAACCAACTGAAGCAGGTGCATGAGGAAAAAGATGGGAAGGTTCGCAAGTACATGGAATTATATCAATTTTAAAAACCATTTAACGAACATTACTTTAAGCAGTAAAAGAATGCTCGTTTACTTTTGAACTTAGATCAAAGATATGTTTCAGATATGATTAAAGATAGGTTTAGAAGACGCTTAAACAGGCCATGCTGTCGATTTGTCAAAATAACAACTTGTGTTGTTTGACGCGTGTTTGTACTAACTGAACACATCACTATTTACCTAATGGCCACATGTTGTGGTGGCCATTACTTTTTTATTCTACACGGCTGATCTTCAACTAGAAAAGTCTTGTTAAATGTTAACTGGTCTGTTGAGAAACATACCTACTTATATATTACTGAGTAGGTACATGCATATCATAAAGTACACCCAGGCACAGAACGAATGATTGTCCTTACCATACTATATTTGAGCTGGGTGGGAATCGTATCCACCACTTCTGGTTAAGCAGCCAGGTTCATTAAAGGTGAAAACTAAAAAATACCACTACTAGAGTAAAAATACGAAATGAATAATACAGTTTATTATAATTCACCATGATGTGATTGCATTAAAGTTGGTGATGCTTTTTTATTAGTTAATCAATGTAATAAATAGGTACTACCAGATATAATTTATCAATGAAGTAGCAACTAATTTCCATGACAATTAATACAAATAATGCCTACAAGCTTTTTATACCAAGTAGGTCGGTATTATACCTACAACAATATAGGTTTGGTACTCCTACAACAATATAGTAAATCCTCATTGATCATTTCGCAGCTGATCAGCGTTGTGTCTCCGAGCAGAACGAGACCAAGTAGCAGTCTCTTGCCTATATACAGAGCAGCCAGTGCAGGTTCCAGGTAAATCACATTAATACTGTAAACGCAAACTTTTTGGGAATGGATGTTTGGTTCCTTTTTACTTAAGAACAGTTTAAGGATCTGGATTAAATTTTGTACAGAGATGGACGAAACAGCAACAGAACTGGAACAGCACAAAAGATTGTTATAAAGGAAATCTTATCGATCGATAGAAATAGTGGTATGCTTTATGTATAGAAAGAAGGATGATTTATTATAGATAATTGTGATTAATCGAAGCCCGGGGCCGTCTCGCAATCATTAAGTAACTACTTCTTCATAACTTTACTAACGGAGGCACGAAACGAAGATTATTTTTTTCTAAAATCTGGGCAAGTGCGAGTCTGACTCGCACACCTCCGACAAACTTGTATGTAAATATTTCATCCGACTCGGAAATGAATTCTTGAACTTTTATAACCGTTTTTTCCTAATCAAAATTTAAGGTTGTCTTAAAAATACCCTTATACCAATTTCAGAATTCTTTTACTTGTGCTACGCTATGAGGCAATGGGTTATAGTTCCCTATACGTTTTATTTTGCTATAACTGACTCAATCTTTAATCATATTAACTGAAAAATATTCATTTTTACAACTTCAAGAGATCGTAGGGCGTAGGTATTTGTTATACACGTTCCTGAGAAAGAGGTATTGACAGACAAACAAACAAACATACGGGTGTCATTTTTTTACTTCGGGGAATAAAACTCTACAAACAGTAGATACAAAAAACTTAATTGAAAAAAAATAATGTTTAAACTGTTTTTTTTTAAATTGAGATTTAGTTTTATATACTGTAAAGTTACATTACTAAATTAATAAGTGAATCTTGATAAATTTTCAATCAATCTGATGTACATAATATGTCGTCGTGCCACTTACATTTCACCATGTGTAAGGCCATCGTCGAAGTTTGCAGCGAGGTCGATGGTAAGTCGCAATTGAACTAACTAGCACCATCCGATGACACACTGATACACATCTTAATTATTAAGAGATTGCAGAAAGACTGCTGTTGAGACAACAGCGATTCTCCTAGTTGAAGTGCTCGCCTACATCGAGTCAAATGTATTTTCTTTTTCTTTTTGTGACTAGCTCGTCAACCACGTCTTCTGGAGTATCGGAGGTCGCAACAGCATTCCGTCGAAGACAGAAAAAACCTCACGCACTAAGAATGCCCCAAAAAAAGAGAGGTAATTTATCCTCTTTTAATTTACTTAAATAATGTTCCCGACGGTATTTCAACAAAACTTTTTAAACTTTAATACATATACCAGTGAGCAATCAAATGCTCAAAATAATCTTATTGATAACAAATCTCTGGAAGTAGGTACTCTAGTGTGATCCAGACGTTGAAAATATTTTATTGATCATTACTTTAAGAACATCGTATTAATTTTTAAAGCCATTTCTATGATTTGGGGACTTAGGCCTACGTTCTAGGCATCTAATATAAACGAGCGCTACCTACTAATCCTGTATTGCGCAAAGAAAGTTTTCACCCCAATCGGTATAAATATAAAATATACCCTGTACAATATCTACATATACAGCATACATAGTGTGGTCGGAAGATTCTCTTTTTATGATGGAGGGACATACTTTGGCAACTATACGAATTAGAGCATATATCATAAACGGTCTATTGTCACACCAAGTATTACCAGATTTATGTGCGAAATGTGTTTTTTTTCCAGTGGGTACCACGGATAGTTTGCTTGAAGCAGCCGGTTTGGACAGCTCTGATAGTGGACAGCCTTCCATACCGCAGACGCCGACTTCTTATCTCTCCATGCCTTCAGTCAATGCTTTCCCCAGGTAAAATACTTCAGGTATTTTATTACAATTAAGTGTTTTGAAACAAATACCATAGTATCTGGTTACTCATAATACCAGGCAAACCATACTTTGACAACGATATACAATCTGAAAAGCAGTTCCTTCACTAGCAGCTCTATAAAACTTTATAACTTTTTTCTGTATAGGGGTAACCACGGAGCAAATACAAAGAGGACAACGAAACAACGCGTGATAATTTGCGGGGTCAGTCGGTGTTAAGCTCCGCCCACTTCACTTTTTTCCATATACCAAATAATAGCAAAACTAAACAAAAGTCGATGTTGCTATTTAGTTTAGCTATCTCACACTAAGTGTAGGATGTAAGGTTTTTTTTTAAGATTATTGTTCTTGATACTTACATCTATTGCAAAAATCTTACACATATTATAATCGTCCTAACCTCCCTAATATTATAAAAGCGAAAATACATATACCTATGTGTTCTTTCGTTCTCGTTGACCTATCCCACGCTATGTACTGTGTGCCTGTTTTTCACCATGAAACGGACGGATTTGGATAAAAATTTGGTATATAGGTAGATTATTACCTGAAGTTATGGACGCTAGGTATTGCTAGTGTGAAAATAATTACGATTATAATTTGTTGTCTTATTTATTCTTATTTTATCTGTATTTATGTGTACGGCTTATCTTTTTGTCCTATTGTCACCCCACTACGGAGAAAAAGAGTGTTATGATTTTCACCCATAGTTAAGTATAGGTACTTAATATATTGAGCATCAACACCTCCTCTTTGTATTTGCTCCATGGGTTTAACTCATAAATGACCATTTTTTGGGTGGACTTTTACGAAATGCTAAACATATTCAAATTTTATTAATTGTTCTTATTTGCAATAAGAATGTTTCTTATATTGTCTTCTGAAAAATGTTCTGAAAACTATCTCAAACATTTCCAGAGGGAATGTAGTAGAGCCGTTATCCAGAATCCTCGAACCTGTGTTAGTCCGTCACCTCGACATTGACTCGCCAGCTAGTTCGCCAAAGAAGGGCAAGCAGGAACCAAGTAAGAATAAAGATGTGGTCCCTCGAAGACAGATGGCATCCCAGCTGGTCAGGCTGGGCAGTATAGATAAGGATCCTGGAGTCATAGGACCCTTGGTTTGGGATCTACATTGCCAGAGAATTAAAGATGGTAGGCTCTTTTGGTTTTTAGAATTTTCTATATTTTTTATACCGATATTTGTTAATATAAAAAACTGATAAATTAAAAAACTAAAAAAATGGGTCGTCGCTGGACGTCTGCCAGATGTAAAACATCAAAATTATTTTGTCGAAATAACGAGTATAAAAGGATAATATCATATTCAGAATGACCAGACCCGAATTGCCACACCGCATTACATTTTCCATAATTATATGCCTACTATCGCATTAAATGTTTCGCATCAAAAAAGTTGTGAAGCCTAGCCTACAGATAGAAAACTTACTCAAACTTAAACTATTGGCTGTTGTACTTATGATCAACCATTTGGTAAACATATATTAAAACGTGATATTCTCCTAAGTTGTAGTATTTATGTAAAATTACGACTGTGCCCTACAGCGTCGAAGCCGCCCAGTCCAACCAAGTCTACATCATCAGCTCGCAAAGAAGCTGGTCCGTCTCGAATGAGGCAGCGGTTCAACGAGTTGATGGACGACGCGTTTACACTGTTCGGTAGCGTTGGCTCTAGTCCAAATTCACACGACACTTATACAGTGGACAACGAAAGAGATTCTAGGGATAAAAAGCAAGGTATTCATAGTTATAAAGCATTCAAAATTATCCTTTTCGTCAAACTGGAGTAGGTATGAGTACGAGATGTAGCGATGCCACTGGTGATCATGCAATTAAAAATGTTACTATAAAAAGGTGTCAGTGACACTGGCTTGGCCACCACCGACCACTGAGTGCTCAAGATCGATGGCGTAAGTAGGTATACGATAATTTTTACCTATTAGGTAACTCATATATCTACTTGATTCGGTAACAGAAGTTTTTATTGTGACTTAAATTAGCCTAATAATATAATTTTGTAAAACAGCTGTGTATTGACACCAGACCAAGAGCAAAGTTTAATGTTGTAAAAAAGTTTAAGTTACTCTAACCTAGTCATTTAAAACAAAAATATATTGTATTTAATTGAGAATCTATTTATCTCTGACACTTCTAAGAACTACAGACCGATAAAACTAGAACATTACACATACTTACTAATTTTTTTTTTCTTCGATCTAGCTCTCAGCCTTACCCACCTTAAAAATTGTAATTTCTTCTAAAGTAAAACCCGAGTAAATCTGTGACAAAAAATAATGATCGAAAAATTGCGAATAATGAACGACTAAATTTGGGAGAAAACAGATCTTCGCTAGATGCCCTAGTTTAGTGATGTCAACGTTTTCGACCTAGGAAGATTCTCCCTAAGTTGAACACCCAGAAACGCTTATAACTTTTGAACCAGTGACCGACAAGTTCTGATAGTTTGCGGCAAATTTCGACTAATTAGTAACTAAATTTAGGTGAAAACAAATCTTCGTTAGGTGCTCTAGTATTTGAAATATAAACGTGGCTAAGCTTCGGAGATTGTCCCTAGGTAGGGCTACCTAGAAACGCTTTTAACTTTGAACCAGTGACCGACATGTTCTCAAATTTGATGACTGATTTCGACAAATTAGTGACTAAATTTGGGAAAAAACAGCTCTTCTCAAGGTTCTCTAGTTTTTGAGATACAAGCGTGGCCAAGCTGGGGAGACTGACCCCAGCAGGGCCACCTATAAACGCTTATAACTTCTGAACCAGTTACCGACAAATTCAGATATTCGGCGACAAACTTCGATTTATTAGCTACTAAATTTTTGTTTTCTCAAAATTAAAATCCATAATGGTGGCCAAGCCAGTGTCAGTGACACTATAAGTCGTATTTTTAGAAAATTTAAAAATGGTTCTCAATTCCAATGAATATTCTTAATGAAAAATATTATTCTTGGTTGGTCCCATTCTAGTTTGAAAAAGTGGCTACCTATTGTTCTCTAATAGTGGAGAATTATAGCTTATTATAATTTATCGTGATTTAAGTGCATTGAAGTTAGCGACGCCTTTTAAAGTTATCTATAGGTACTTCATTTTTAACATAAAATACTAGCCTGTCGCCCTATTGCAGTTACTGTTGCAGGTTCAAGCGAGCATCTAGCGCAAGCGCGCAACGACAACGTACGCCTTCCAGGATCGCCCTACACTGCCTTGGATACTTTGCGGGGAAGGTCAGCCGGACCCGGGCCTAGGTAACGCGAAGTTAATAAAGTATATCGCACAGAATTTTCCCTTTATGAACCACCTGGCAAACGTCGAAGGCGCTAAATAAACACTCGTTAAACCATATCACATTATTGATTTGGACCTACATACACATAACCCTTCCTTACACACCAGAGAAAACATATACATATAAATAATATTTGTACTGGTGTTTCGTTACAAGAAGTTCACCGCGGTCGGTCCCGTTAAATTGTGTAGGTACCTATTTATGCAAATATTTTCTTATTCTGGTAAAAATAAGTTGAGCACACGTACTATAACGTTTAACCAATTTTAAAAGATATCTGTAATGTGTAATCCTATGCTACTCGTTTAAGTCGCGTGTCGGGTGCGGCAGAAGGGCCGGCGGAGGCGGCGCGGCCGCGCACGGCGCACAGCCGGCCCGCGCCCGAGCGCCGCCGCCCGCCGCCCGCCCGCGCCTGGGCCGCCGCGCCTCCGCAGGTACTACGAGTACACTTACCATACAATATTCAACATCTCGTAACCCTTGTCTATGTGACACACATGTGCGTATCCAGCTTTTGACACAATATATAATAGAACCAAAGATTTTCTGGAGGTGGGTGGTGCTCCCCTCCCTCCTCCCCCTCCATTAGGCAAGCCATGAAAATAATTTAATATAATAGACATCACATGAGCTTTCATTACTATTATATAAACAAATGAGTAACTTATTACGAACGAACCTGATAGCATTAATTGCAGTTGTATAGCATTCCTGTGGAGAGACCGGTCTATTTACATTTCGTTATCATTTAACATTCATCCGTCACCTTTGACACTACAGAGATTACGTCAACTCACCAGAATTCAACACACAGAACAAAATCTTCAATGAACACGAAATTTTGCACACAGCAATGGGACAACAACACGATGATAATTTAACAGTCCCTAGGTGCGAGGCCCGCAGTCAACCCGGCGCTCATCCTGACTGAGGGTCGACTGGCCGCAGAGGACCCGGCCCTCCCCCTCATATCGGCCATCAAGACTGAGATTCAGCGCATCAGAGAAACTGCCCACAAGCCTAATACTTGATAGCCAAATAAATAAATCTTAAATTAATAGAATATGTAGTACAATTTGTTGTAAGTCAAAAATGGATAAAATTGATATTAATGATAATTTAGTATTGATTCGATTGATATTAATAGTATTTAAGCTTAAAATAAAGGCGCAAAGAAAGTGTTGGGATAAGAAGCAAGTTGTGAATTAATGATTAGATTTAAAATGTGTGATTAGCATTATCTACAAAAGAGAAATGAATGAGATTTAAACAGTGATTGAAATTATGTTATTTTGTTATCTATTGATAATTTCAATCAATTACTTCCAGTTATGAATTTATAATGTTGTATTGGTTCTTTACATATTGATTTTATATTTCTGTTTTGTTTTAATTTTTTATGTATTGTGAACGTTAAAATTAGTAAAATGAAGTGCACTTAAAGTACTCTTGCATAAGTACAAAAAATGTTTGATGCCAATTATTGTAGTAACAAACTAATCTACCTGACGTTTTGGGATCCTGTTTATGAAACCTTTGTAATAAACATTTTTAACTATTATATTTGTAGATTATTTAGCAAATAAATAAATAAACCTTTTCATGTGCATATTTATTTTGTACTTAATCGCGTTATAAAAGTTTCTTATTTGTAATTTCGGTAGCATTTTTACATATTTACATACATACAAGAATACACCCAAACAGAATATCCAGACGCGAATCAGAACCTCTTTGGCTTGTGTTAAACATGATTATTTTAATGTTAAAAATTAATACATTAGGATATTGCAATTAAAAATCTAAGTAAAATACAGAAAGTAATTCCACAACCAGCATATTTTTAATTAACAATAAATATATTTATATTAGAAAAAAAAACATATCAATTTCGGCATTAAAACGTTTAACGAATTTCCGAAATAAGAAAAACTTCATATTATTTGAACATATCCATAGTGACCTAGCCTCTAATGTACAAAATTTATATTATCCATCAGCCTTTCGAATAATTTGGTTATTCTAATTACCGATTAAGTGCATGACTTACATTTATGTATATTATGATCTAGTGATGACACTACGTAAAGTGTACTGGGCACATGTACACTGAACACAATGGCACTTGCAATCCATTCTCACGTCCATGTAAGAGCCCTAATATCATTGTGACCTACACATTATTTGTAATATTCATTACATTATTTAAATTTAAAACACTGTTTTATCACTTTTCATCACCCTTGTATCTAGAAACTGATATCAATAGGTTCCTGATCATCAAAGAATTTTAGACAATGTAGTGTCACTTATTTCACAGTCACTCTTCTGTTATAACACTTATAACAGCACAGTCATTGATGTTATGATTTTGTATATGCTATGTGGACTGTAAGGATTGCTGAGGCGCTAGACGTCTCCATTGCGTAGGTTGCTCCTGAGTTTCGTCATCCTATGACAAATATCAAATATATGACATTAATACAATGTTATTGTTGCGGCAGTTTATAATAAGATTAATTTGAAAGTCTCTAATTTAAATGTTTTCTAAATCGATATTTAACCAAACAGAAAAGTTATTATCGTTTCATATAGGTAACTAATCAATCCAATCCTAAACCGATCATAGAAAAGTTTAGTGTTAAATATAAATACCTGAATGATAGTTATGGACACTGTTTCTGGCTTCATGTCTTCTAATAGTTTTTGATCTTCTGACACACTCTCCATATTTCTGTAATCAAAACATTTGTACTTAAAATTAATAGTGAGCTTCCTATTCCTACACAGTTATTTTACCTAAAAAATAATATACTCAGTCCTCCTAACACAAAGAATTTAGATATTTCATTATTGATAGATTCAGATATTCATTTTTGTGTAGCTAAGAAAACATAATTGCTCATTATCAGCTTATTATTAAAAAAAAAAGTAATGTACTTATTCAATATTTCTAAGTTATATATGGGTGTACTTACTTTCTGCTGCCAGAGTGGAACCTGCCACCTTCACCTCGTATTCTGTTCATAGCATGTCTGTGTCTGGATTCATGTAGATATTTCTGTACAAAAACAAATATTGTCATAAAAAAAGCCAATAAATTAGGTCTCATTTAACACAACAAAGTTCATGACATATATTATCATTGTCATGTCATTGTAAAAAAATATGGCAACTGACTAATATTAGAAAAAAAACCGGCCAGTTACGAGCCGAACTAGTGCGCCGAGGGTTACGTACCTACCCAGATTTTATGTAGAATTTCGCGAAAATTTGTAAGTACCAAAATTTATCTTAATTATCAACTTTTTTTTTTATTATTCCTTTATTTGTGCTGTAAGACGTTTCTTTTTGCCAAATTTTGTGATTCTAGGTAAACCGGAAGTACCAGTACAGTGCAAAATGAATAGCATAGTTGAACAAGTCACTTACTGGTCTCTCTTTAGGTATCTTGCCCATTTCATGCAATTTAGCTCTGGCGGCGCGTCGCTTTAATATGCGCTTGTACTGTCGTGCGTTGACGTACAGAAGTGGTTCTTCATCGGAACCGGGCGCCGAGGAACTGGCTCCCTCTGATGTCGTCGCACTAGTGCTAGCAGTGTTTGTGGTCCCATTCATCATCTATAAGTAATGAATATTTTACTAAATGTTTATTTTATAGTCATAACTACCACCACACCTTTATAACATAATTTCTTATATTAAAAGACAACTCCCACACTAGGAATATGTCCTGTGTCGATTACACAAAGTGTTGTTCCATGTTGGTATTTCACCCACACAGTCAGTGCAGTAGAAAGCGGAGAGGTGACCTCTAAAACCACCACGTCATCCATGCAGTCTTTACATTACATTATATATATAATTTATTGGGATTCTTTGAGTAACATACCATGACAATATTAGGCTGATTGACAATCTGTTGTGCTTGCACTGCATTGCCAACACCAGCCACCTGCACCAAGTTGCCATTCAAGTTGATCACTGGAATCAAGCATGTTTAAAAAGTCATGAGATTGGTATTTTAACTACCTAGATGCCAGAAGTGGTAACACAGCATATGTTTTTTTGAAGGCTATTTTAATTTCAGGCTATTGATATGTAAGGTAGAGTTATAAACTCTGGTAGTATGTATTCCTTAACACAAAACAGCACTGGCTGACTAACAAGTGCATTTCAGTCCATTGTAGCAACATTCCCAGTGTTGTATGCAGTGTAAAAGCATAGGTAAAGTTACCGGCAGGTTGATGTATTATTTGATGCTGATCAATTGTGTGTTGTGCACTTGTTGCAACAGGCTGGTATAAGAATGTCTGTCCATCGGGTGTTTGAACAAGCTGCATGGCTTGAACGTTGCCACTAGCTGGAAATAAGGTAAACAAAAATATATCTTTTAAGTACAGTTATAATAACTTACAGTTATTTTATTAACCCATTCAAATTCTGTACTTTAGTGATAAAGTCATAAATTATTTTAAAAAAGGTTGTTATTTTTAATTTTAATATAAGACGAGACAAAAAACAGAAATGGCATATGGACATTTTTGATCAAAAATAGGTTTGTTAACAATATGGGCTGCATTCATTCTCTCTCCATTATTATTTAGATGAGAACATAATAAGCTTATATTTTATACTTTTAATGAAAATTGATGTCATACCTTGTATATTGGATATAGGCACAACTTGTAGCTGCTGTAACTGTTGCCCATTAGGAGCGGCAACCTTAAAACATACATAAACCCATTAAAAATAAGTAAAAGGTTTGTATGCTGCATACAACTTAAAACAAGTACAGACTTAGGTTACATAATGTGGATTAATACTAAACTACAGACTAGTAAACCATATCACATCTACAAAATGTCAACATGATGCTCCTAAAAGACACTGCAATACAGACCAAAGAAGCAAAGACAGCTGTAGGGTAAAAACACTGCATCAGCAAAGCATCAATCTAATTTAAGATTTCACTTAACATTCCTTTTGAATTTAGATGTGCCTTTCATTTGAGTACACTAGTAACTAGAGATGGTCGTTTTTGTAAAAACGTTTTTAAGCATCGATGCCAGTGTGCGATGCCGGCATCCGATGCCGATATATTGAAAAACGGATGCCCGCAACATCCGATGCGAACTTCACCGAATGCGAGCGAGCGAGAGGCGCCAGATGACTACGAAACGGAAAACGCGGCGATGACAAGTCGAAGCATCGATTTGATGATAGATGCGGTTGTACTTGGAAGACGAAATTTTCCCCCGGCGAAACGTTGACGGGGGGTGGAGCGATCCAATGAATGGTGGCTCCGTCATTCCAAAATATACCCGACGTTGGCAGAAATATACCGTTCGAGGTGTAATATTGTTATAATATTGTTTCTGTGTTTCTGTGCCATGCGAACGGATATTCTCCAAAGCCGGGTATATTTTGAATAAACGAAGAACTCATCTTTCAAGTTCCAAATTAGAAAAATTGGTTTTTCTTAATGTCAACTCTAATTTTGTTAAAAGTAAAGACTAATATTAATTCCCATATTTATATTATGTTGAATATCGTATCTAAATAATTTACAAAGTTATAAAATAGGTATCAAATGATTTCAATAAGGCAACGTTACCGAGTAACTATCTAATATTCATACGCAGACACTTTAGCCTGCAACTAATTTTGCCTAATCGGAAATCGCATAATCAAATCGATGCCGGCATCGGATGCGGTTCACCAATTAACGATGCGCATCGATGACAAAATTTAACGAAAACGCCCATCTCTACTAGTAACATACACTGATATTAATTAAAAATATTTTTTTACACTTTCTGTTTCATGCATGCCTAAAAAAAAAGGCATTAAGAAACCCTATCTAAAAATAAAGTATAATACTACTACCTGGAGTTGTGGTGTTCCAATCTGATTCCATAGGCAAGAACAAGGAAATATATATTTTTTTTAATTTTATAAACCATATAGCATAATACAAAATAATTCTATATTTTCCTAATGATTAAAATATTCTAATGGTTCTATTCTAATATTAATACTCAATTACCATACCATTTAGGTTATGGTAAATTACAATCATCCCACTATAAAAACAATTTTGAGTTATGTAGATACTGCTGGACATAGGCCTCTCCTTGCATGCCACTTTTTGCCTCAATTTTTGGCTTATCGTCTATGGCCAGCAGTGGACTGCGATAGGCTGATGATGATGATGCAGATGATAGATACACTAATGACATGACAGGCCTTTTGGTCTAGTGGTTCACTAACTCCTTAACAATAAAGGTGACAACCCTCACTGCTAAGGAGGTCGTTTGATTCTCACCCATGACAAATAAGTCAGGTCTGGACATCATTTTTTCTATGATATATGTATGTGTTTAGAAATATTTCAGTATGTTTAACAGCAGTTATTTACCACAGGATCTACCAAGTGTGGGATCAGACAGTGTAAGATTTGTGAAGTTATTAATATTATTATATCTACTCTAACTGCTTGAAATTACCTGTATAGCAGGTCCAGTGGAAGGCACAGCGTGTGCCACAATCTGTAATCCGTTAGGTCCCTGTATCATGTGTGGTGTATTGTTCATTTGAAGAACTTGTAGCTGTTGTCCGTTTATAGTCATAACTTGAGCTCCATCTGAGCTCTGGATCTGTGCGTGTTCCATTCTTTTTTCTGTAAAGCATGTTTTGCTTAATTTGATTATTGATTGTATTCTGTACTTCAAGTAGAATCATATAGTTACAATATATCTAAAAAATTTTTTTTGACAAAACAACAACTAACCCAGTGTGCTCAAAACATTAATATTTTGATTGGTTTGTAATAAGCACTGCCTTCTAACTATTCAAGCAAGTACTCTAGTTTAGTAAAACACTGTTCCTATCGATAAGCCGATAACACCTCGAAAATTATTCAGAATACTAATATAGGTAAGCCTAACGGGCACTCCAACCAACCTTAAACAAAATATCTTTGTAGTGGCTTTTTCTAAGTGTGAAAGCGCGAGGTAAAACTTTAGTTTACCTATCTTCATCTTAAGGAAAATTCAACACGTCACAACTATGTACCGAGGCCAAGGAAAGCAATGTAATCAAAATGGCTGCTTTTTCATGTAATTTCATAAAACATTGTAGAATAATGTACACCACATCCAAATAATTTAATGATTTTTGCAGGATCTACCGGCACATCCATCGTGAGTTTATTTGGTGAAAATAAATTGTGAACTTACATTGGGTCCTCACTGGTTTTTCGATGATTGGTTGACTATAGTTAGACCAATGGCCGAAGTCAACGATCACAAGAACGCAGTAGATTGGTTCGGCGCATTACCACTCCCAAAGAAGCGGGCTCACGCATCTATCCAATCGTTCACGTAATTAATGTATTGTCTATGGTTGAAATTAGCCTATCTCTGTACCTCTTAAGTTTGCTCTGGCAGCGGTATTTTAAGAATATTTTTAACTTCAACTTCAATGAAAGTTGTTAAAAGGAAATGCATTTTAGTTACTGTTTTACATGCATATTCATAGGTATGGTAAAAAAATTAATTTAAACAAGGACCAAGGATGTCAAATCAGTACATTACAAGGAACTAACTATTAAATAATTATTATGTCACCGGTATATCTATGAAGTTCTACATAATTCTTTTGTATTCTATTACTTATTAGGAGTAGGTTGGATTTTTAAGACATATTATATCAAGTACCCAATTCGACGACTAGCCACTGTGAAAACATTGGATCGCTGAAAAATTTACATGTTACGACGATGAAACTAGTTTGTACTTTATATTATTAGTTAGTTTACCCAGGTCAGGTTACACAGTTACAAGATTCACAAAAAAAAACGGCGTATGGGGTTTATATGATGATGTGATCTATGAAGTGTCGGCAAAAAATCTTGTTACACATTTTTCGGTCTTCTCTCATCCGTTCAGAATGTTCCAATTGATAAATAAAATAGTTACTGTTGCTTGTGGATAGATTGTAAAATTTATAGTCAATTTTAATCAATGTGCCGAAAGATTGGTACTCGCCTGAGTAACTTGTTAAATCCACAGACTAATTAAATTTAACTGAATTGTTTTTGGTTGCCATTTTGTTTGCGAAAACGACGCTTTGTTTGAAGCTTATTTGTAGCTTATTGAAAAAAAAGATTTTAAGCATAGATGCATAGCGTGTTTATATAATTATAAAAAAGGGAACCGTAAGATGAATTCGACAATATCTGATGATTTATCCCGTAAACATTTAGCAATTGAGGCAACAAAGTGTCTTGGTAGGTTATGTTTTAAAAATCGAAATTTATTGTTTCAATTGTTTTCTATGACATGGCATTGTGTATATTATTTCAGAAAATATAGGCACAAATAACGCTAGGTTATTTATACTACACAAGGAACTTTTAGAAATTAATTTATCCTTAACTACTTACATTGAAGAAAGTAAGAAACGACTTGCGGGACTTCGATTGGACTTGGCCCACGGCGCTAAAAGCTCTCATAGAGTTGTTGAACTGTTATCTGATAAATGTGAGTATCCTGTGGCAGTAATTTTTAATTATATAAATTTAAAACATTTGTACCCTATCAATTTAATACTACTATAGCTAATTTCTTGTTAGATTGTTAATGCATGAAACGGGAGATGTTAGATTCATATTGGAATTGTAAATTTCAACGCCGTTTTTATCATTGATTTCAGAAAATGTCATCTACTACACCCAATAATAGTAAATGCAACTCTCAGACGAAATTTTCTAAATCATTACATGAAACAAATAACAATTCAAGCAATAAAGCTTCAGAACGACAGCAGGCCAGAAATTTTATAACTTGGTATAAACGCATGATAGATGAAGATAGACACAACTTGACATTATACATTTCTGACGATGCAGTACTTGAATGGTTTGGTCGAACAATTAAGACAAGAAAAAAAGTCACTGCTTTCTTGAAGTATGATATGCAAAGTTCGAGGCATGATTTCATTACAATAGAAAGCATAGATAAAATTCAAAGTAGAAATGAAAAATGCCCAAGGTTGGTAAATTTAATGTTATAAATATTATATCGATGGGTCCTACGTAAGGCAAAACAGCAAATAGCTCTCGCTGTAATTTTACAGCTATTCAGTTTCATTTCAACATTTTGTTTCATATCAAAGAAAGTTCTCAACAGATTAACCTTATACGAGGGTGGGTCAATAAGTCAGTGACTTTTGGTATAAAACGCAGATTTTTTGATAAATAAATCATTTTATTTTTCAACGTAGTCTCCCTTGAGCTCTATACACTTTGTCCAACGCTTCTCCAATTTTTTTATCCCTTCCAAAAAATATGATTTGTCGAGGTCCTCAAAATAGGCCTTTGTTTGTGAGATGACTTCATCATTGGAGTCAAATCTTTTTCCACCAAGCCATTTCTTCAGGTTTGGGAACAAGAAGTAGTCACTCGGAGCCCAATTCATGGATTTTTACCATGGCAACTGCACATGTGTGCACCCTTGCATTGTCTTGGTGGAAAAGAACTTTTTTCTTGGCCAAATGAGGTCGGTTTTTTTTTCAAATCGTCATTGAATCGGTCCAATAAGTTGGCATAATATTCCCCATTGATTGTTCTTCCCTTTTGAAGGTAGTCAATGTTGATTATCCCGCGTGCATCCCAAAAGACAGTCGCCATAACTTTATTGGCTTACAAACCCACCTTGGCCTTCTTTGGCGCCGATTCACCCTTAGAAACCCACTGTTTTGACTGTTGTTTGGTCTCTGGTGTGTTGTGATGGATCCTTGTTTCGTCCACGGTTATAAAACGGCGCAAAAACTCCTCCATATTGCGATTAAACAACGCCAAACCTTCCTGTGAAGTTGTTACACGATTGCGTTTGTGGTCGACTGTGAGCAATCGCGGCAAGATGGGTATCTTGCGGAAAGCTTTCTCATGCCCAAGTGATCATTCAAAATTGAAACCACTGAGCCATGCGAGATCCCTACGGCTTCCACAATCTCTTGCACTTTCAATCTTCGGTCGGCCAACACCATATCGTGAATTTTTTCGATTGTTTCGGGTGAAGAGACCTCAACTGGGCGTCCAGGACGTTCGGCATCTTCAGTGCTTGTACGGCCACAACGAAATTCAGTAAACCACTTTTTTACCATTGAAATCGATGGTGCAGAGTCCCCATAGTATTTATCAAGCTTAGCCTTGGTCTCGGTAGTGGTTTTTTTTCGCAAAAAATAATGCTTAATAAGCACACGAAATTCACTTTTTTCCATTTTTTCCTAAAATTACTGGGTAGTCTGATAAAGATAGCTGTCATGTTTGACAGCTATCTTAAACTAACTGACGCAGCAAGTTCAAATTTTGACAGGAGTCAACTGACAGATGCCTGTTGACAGAAGTAGTGTTGCTTTTTCAGTAAAGAGGTCAGAAATTCAAAAAGTCACGGACTTATTGACCCGCCCTCGTATTTGGTACAAAGTATAAGTAAATAGACTTCTTTAGTACAATATATTTTAGCCAATTTTAAAATTAATAACTTACACATCTATACTTGGAAGAAAGGAAATTGTGGATCACAGCAGTTTCTAACTCTTTGACGTAAATAGGCGAAACTGAATTTTTTAAGTACGAAAATGCTATCCTGTTTTTAATTATTTCAATCTAATTAAAATAATCAGATACAATAGAAATAATAAGAGATTTTTATTCAAATTATCAATAGGCTCTTAAGAAGAAATTAAGAGCTTAATTTCTTAACTTTTGCCTTTATACTAGGTTTGTATTTCCTATTGGAAATACAAACCTAGTATAAAGGCAAAAGTTTTAATTCGCTTTTATACTTCACTTTTAGATAAAAGGGCAAATTAAGAGCCTAAGGGCAAATAAATACCTAATGGTGTATACCACATTCTTTAATATATCATTTTAAACACATATTACATGTTTGAATAACAGATTAAAAGTTACTAATATTATTATAAGTATTTCAAACAAAAACGATATTTAAACATAGTCCTTATGACTATAAATATTTAACGACATACAAAGCTGTAACTCTTGTTTTTGCTCATTATGTAAAAAATGTAAAAAAGTAATTATTTTACAAAATAATATTATATATATAACTAACCATAATATTGCTTACCTTGACAAATTGATTCGTTTTTTACACTGTATTCGTATCGTAAGATTTTCGGAAGAATGGCTCAATCTCAACACTTTCTTTAATATTTTAGGCGCTCTTGAGTAGTTACGAACTAGTTTGTTTCTGTTTGTAGATGAATGAAAATTGACGGTAGAAGATTTTACACGTAAAATGACGTTTATAAGGACGAACGGCACAGTTCGCCTGATTGCTTGTCGATCGTCAGATAGAGATGCAGACTTATTAAAATTGGATTCTCAACTCCGAATTTTTGTTTTGTTAAACTATTATATAGAACACAACTGAGCCATTGCGCTAAAAGTAGTAAAAAGACGAATGTGCTGCTTTCGTCCATTTACGTAGGACCCATCATCGATATGAAGATAAAAATTGCAATGTATTACCATTTTATACCACTATCTTAAATGAGCGATATCTTAATTTTCAGAAACGATGACACATTATTGGCCAGCCCCCTTCATTCCCCAGAAATTATCAGTTCCAAGAACAGAAGTCGTAAACGTAGATTACTGAGGTCAAATTGCAATAGTCCTGAGTGGGCTGAGGGTTGCCAGCCCCAAGAAGAAATTAGTATAGACAAGAAACAAAAGACTGACAACAATGAACATAAAAGGGAAGTAAATACACTGAAAAGATCATATTCTGATGAGGAAATAAGTAACAGAGGTGATTGCTTGTATCCTAAAGTAAAAAAGAAGTGTGCACTAAGAACCCCACCTAACTGTGAAGTGGGACAAGGAGATTGCTTGCCATCTACTAGTGGTACAGACTCTGATAAATCACATGATGCCCTAAATGCTCAGCTGCCTAAATTAGCAGTAGAATGTAATGGTTACATAGAGTTTACTAGATCTAGGAATAGCCGTAGCATAGATTCTATGAAATGGGATCGTAAATGTAAAGTACAAATTAGTTATTCTGAAGACCCTTTGAATGTTGGAGAGTATATAATTTGGTCATTGAGATATACTGATGATAACAAGTGTAGGAGGAATTTGTTAGCTGCATTTGAGGAAGTTGCTAAGGAGGAAGAGCTCAAGCAAGTTACAGAATAATTATTTGTACACAAAATTTACTGACAACTTCATGTATCTAATGCAGACAGGCAATTTCATACAAAATATAAATTATACAAAGCACAGGTTTTTAAAGGCATTTGGTACATTGATATGATTGACCTTTTTTTTAGTAGCTGTGGTTTATTTCGACTAGATCGGTTTAACAACATAGTGAAGGTAATTATTTTACTGTCTCATTTTAACAAGGCCAATAAAGTTCCATTTAGAGAATATTCTGAAAATGAAAGACTACACTGTGTCAAACCCTTTCAATTTGTTCTTTTATATTTTGACTACATTGTTTTGGGATGGTTTTAAATGCACAACTTGATTTGTCATGTCATATTTTCAATGTGATTATTGTATGTCAAACTACAGTTTTATTATTTTCGAATATAAGCAGTGTATCACAAGTTAAAAAGAAAAAAGTAGCCTTGGGCACAACTTCTGGTCAATTTGCCAGTAAATATACTTATGGGTGTACACAATTTGAAAACTATGTGATGCGAAGATTTTTTTATTTTTCTATAATATATTATTTTTTGTATGTACTTTTATCAAAACTAGATATTTACACTGTGACCAACTTTACCTCCTAACATGAATTTGTAACCTAGTTATAGTTTTTATGATGAAAACTTAATTATTGAATGATTTGAATGGTAAAAGTTTGTTTGTTCTAGTTGTTAATATAACAAAGCAATAACAGCCCGAAGGATAAAACTTCACATTAGTCTACTTATTCTACAACTTCAGTAATTTAGCATCTTATGTTAAAGAATAACAGAAAATTGCAATACATAAGAAAGACAATGTTATCAAGAGTATTTGATCTTAAACATAGTAAACATACTCAAAAGAAAATAAACAATAATTTCTTTAATTTTTAAATGTAAAAATCAAGTTAATCATGTAGATTTGGGCTAATCGAATTAAATGTAGTTACTAGTGGCCTGAACTAAGTAAACATGGTTAGTTTATTGGATTAATGATAGAAAAATGAGCAATATTTTATAAATAATTTTATTTTTAAGTCATGCATAGATTGAAAACAAAATTTGGAATGGAAGAGGATTTTAAGCATTGTTCAAATGGTATTTGTATATATTCTAAAAAAATACAGATCACCATAAAGAACCTATTCCAATAATTATGTATGTTTTATATGAACATGTAATGTAGGATTTTCTGTTATAAAACTAATTTGTGATATCCCCTATTATTGCATGTAATTAAGTCCGCATCCTGTACATGTGCTTTGCGGATGGGCAAAAAAATGGTACACCGTACAGTTATAGCTTCCTACTTATACTCTACTTGTCTTTTATAGCGGCGCGATATTAGACAAATAGTTGATTCATTGAGCAATTCAAACTGCAGGAAATAAGTTAGAAATCTTCTTATGTCCAATTAGAAATATTTCCACTTTAAGATGGATGCTTTTGTTGTACAAATTCTGCATTTCTCTCTCGGTTTATCTGTGAATGAGACGATTTGTATAGGTGCGGGCCAATTTGCGAATGGGACATACGTTCGTCAAATATATTTAGATTTAGCAATCATTCTAACTGGTCAGACTAGAATTGTGCTTAGAATAGGCTTTAAAAATAGTCTTGTAACTCATCGCACAGTTGGACTGCAAAGGTACGAAATTAATACTAATTTTAATTACGTATAGTTGGGGACACTGATTGACTTCTGAACTAGACACAATTCGTTTTTTGATTGATTGATTCTTTACTTTTTATGAATTATGTAATGAATATCAAAAGATTTTATGAAATTGTAGTGTCAGTCTATTAATTTCAAAATTGTCACAAATAAAATAGTTTAATTCCGGTGTCTTCATGTCGATCTCTTTTATTCTACTATTCTCTTCACCACCGAATTGTAATTTTTTTATAAGTTAGGGATAGACTTAAATTTAGTTATGAATGTTAACTTAGCCCTAGGATAATATGGTGACTAGTATTGTTCTATACTAGTATGTTAAAATGTTGAAGGGTTTTAATTGTTATGATTTTGTTGCCCGTTTATCTGCGCTATAAAATCTTAATTTTTATCGCCCGTTAAAGTTATAAATTAGTACGATAACATTTCATTTTAACGTCAAAAATATTATAATGTTAGCATACTTTTATACGTTTTTTATTATTGACGCACAAAGCGTAGGAGTTAAGTACATACTGACGCTGACGCTCTGGTTTGATATTGATAACATTCAAAATATTCTTTAGCAACTTAATATACGTAATTTTAAACACAACAAGACAACTTTAACTGGCTATAAAAATTGTTGTATTGAATGTGATGCCCGATATGTTTTTTCATATTAATATATCGTATTGTAATTATGTTCTAAATATAAAAATAAATATGGTTTTGTTAAAGTAAGTAAGTTCATATTTGGTTTTTGTCATAGCTAAAACATAAAATGTTTTGAAAGAATTTAAAACAACTCGTAATACTCGTTTTCAACTGCCTATGTTCAAGAGCTAACTGAAAAAATCTGAGATAATTTCGCCTGCTATTAACCTACTAGAATACACGTTTATTCTAGTAGGTTAATAGCATTCGCTGTCGAATACTTACTTAACTAATTAGAATTTCTATGTTGATAAGATCCTTATAGCTCTTATTTTTCTTTGAATTCAATCACCATTTTGTGTTTAAGAAGTGAAATCTGAAGTCATATCGACATAAACTTAATAAGTTTGAAACTTTTGCCATTATTAGCGTTGTCAATATTTGATAAAACAAATATCACTAAAGTGACACAATACGATATATTTCAATGCGTTATTGCTTCGTAGTTATACGATATAACAATATATCATGTATCAATACTTAACGCATCGTAGTTGAGAGACATATCGGACATCGCTGTCCTGAATGGAATGGATTTTTACTGTAAAATATATTGAAATGACCCCATGTCTTAGCATGGATACCTATTACTATAACAAATTTATTTTCCGTGTATACGCTTAGGAGTCAGGCGCATTGCTTTAATTCTTTGAATTGTTCCATTAGTTACGATTTATTGGGTTGCATTTACTTGTTAGTAATAAGCGTTCATGAACGCATTGCATATTTGTGCATATTACTTTTACTGATTTATTTTTGTAAAAATACCAGATAGAGAATGTGCACTGGCGCACGAGGCAGTGTATTTTATGACCGATAAAAAAGTAGCGCAAATAAATGGCCAACATTTTTAACATCTATATGTAATTCGCCTAATAAATATAAGGGACGTTTCTTCGCATACTGTTGAAAATAGATAACTGATTTTATTCTTATATTGTATGTTCAGTCGCCTGCGACAGCTGTAAACTAAATAAGATTACAGAGTGCAACGTCATTAGTTTTAACTATTTCTAAGTTTTATGTTGTTAACGTTACTTGTGAAGTAATGTGAGTGGATTTATTTTGTTTTCATTATGCTAGAGATGTTTAAGGTAAATAAAGATTGTTTAGAAATAATAACGTTGTATAATATACATATTTACAATTTGAAATGGCTCCCAAACGAGCAGGTACTTGATATGCCGCAATTCAAATATTTGTCAAAAAATTTGCATAACCGCAAGTGTAATTTTATTAACATAGTATATAATTAAAGGTTAACAAAGGCATAACTGCTAAATGCAGTTGTTAAACTCTTTTTAAATACTACAAATATACGAAAATATTCCATACTTTCAATAAGTACCTACGGAATATTATTTACTACCTTATCTTGAAAACCACTATATCGTTTTATAACACGCGTGCTTGGCTCATGGCTAAGTGGTAACCGAGTAGGTTAGCACTTCGTAAAGTTAAGAAGCAGTCCAGGTCACCATTTGGATGGGTTACCATTTCTTAAAATATTGAGACCCTTTCGTTCGTGCCTCGAAGGGCACGTTTTGCCGTCGATCTCGCTTGCCATACGAACTGTAGCGATCGTTACAGCCCGGTCAGTGGGAGCCCTAAATAGTCCGACAGCAGTCTTATATACAGAACTTCAATATCGCTTAGTACTTGGATTGTGGAGGTCTGATGGCAGTCGCTCCGAGTAAAAAATTGAAGTTCAGCCGTGCCGTAGTAAAAAAATTGGTAAAAATATTGTAATAGATTACAACACTAAAAATATAAAATAGTTTTACTAATGCTGCGATGTAATTTCGTTTACAGTTAAAGAAATAAAACCTTATATAAATAATAATCACCAAAATATATTGTTAGTCCCATAATAAAATTGTTATCCATACTGATTGACTGTCTTTCTGAATCGTCTGTTGAAATACCTATCCTATTACAGTAGCTGCTAGGTATCTATTTCCCTGTACGTTGAATGGTACAGGTAGTGGTGGTATCGTACTGAATTAAAGGGTGGAATGTTTTCAAATAAAAAAGATAAATAAAAAAAGGAAAAATCTATACAATTTATTCCTGAAATATACATACGACAAAATATAGCACTAACTTCAATTGTGAAAACATACAACACAGTTCCAATTAAAATAATAGTATCTAATCTACTTATAATATCATCATGACATTTAATACCATTTATATAAATTAATAACACAAATTAAGCTGATTATATTTTTTATTTCTAATGATGTACAGTGGAGGGTGTAAGTAATGGGATAGTTTAAAAATTGAGCAAAATAATATTAACGCAACATCAGATCTACATACTTTCTGGCACCATCATGGCTCACTATTCAATACAAATACTACATAATAATGTTTTAATTAACACTCCTTACATGTATAAAAAACTGTGCCTAGGATATTTGTTTTTATTTTAAATCTCTTCACATACATATTACCCATTCACATTCCACTTTGACATTGACGACATGTAAAATTATAAAAATATTTATTGGAACAATCATTACAAATAACCTAGACATGCAAACTATTTTCTATATTAAAATATTACTAGAAGTATGTTGTATAGCTTTATAACATAACAAATTACCAAATTGTGAACTATAACATAGACCATTCTTGTATTACTAATAATTACATAAAATGTAAAAGAAATACAGGAAAATGCTGCTCCATAAATTTGACAGTAGAAAGACTTCGAGCAACTTGAACACTTTTACATACATATCACATTTTATTTATATTTACTAGGTATTAGCTAAAATTTAATTGCCAAAAATTCCTACTGTACCCTTGTCAACAATGACATCACTGGAGGATGACAATATGCTTGGCTTCAGGCCTCCAGGAAATGTAGGCTTCAGGCCTTCCTGAAGCCTACATTTTTAGTGACCAGTAGGAGTAGTAAGTTTTTAAGCTACAATACAAGAAAGTATTGTAGTTTAAAAACAATTGCAAGTGATATTTCCTTTTTTTTTTGATGCACTAGCACACATACAAGTTTAAAATTTTGCCTGTAAAGCAAGGTTAAATGCATATATTCTGTAATTTCAGTCCTGTTTTTGGATATACAAAATGCAATTAGTAACTTTGTAATTCTCTTTAATTAAAATATGATTACAAAGTCAAGCAATTTTTCCTCACTTACACTAACATATTAGGCAGATTAGTAGTGGACATATGTAATTACGAGGTATCATTTAATATACCTACCTATAAAAAGACATCCCATCCAAAACATAACACAAATGAAATATAAACAGTGTCAAGTATCAACAGTGTCACTAATCAAAAAGTTGTGAGATTTCATCCTAACTTAATGAGTTAACTAACAACATTTTATTGTTACCATAATACCATTAGACATCCATATTAGTTAAAAATACAATACAACTTGGCAATTTACCTAATATAGAGTGTATGATTAAATTTGATCTGCTAGCTCTGTGTTCGATTGGGCTTATTTAAAATTGGCCAGCAACGGCCAAGTTATCTTATTTATTAAGGTATTAAAGTTACCTAATATTAACATGGTCACTATAAAATGGTATCAATCAACTAATGAGGTAACAATTAAATTTCATCACATTTGATAGTATAATAACAACTCGTAAACCTTAAATGTTCTCCTTCTTTTCTTCTTTTTAAAAAGACAACTCCCTCATTAGGAATATATCCTGTGACACAAAGAACACCCAGACTCAGAACAACCATTTGTGGATCACTCAAAGTGTAGTCCCATGTTGGGATTGGATCTACAACACTCAGCGTAGTAGTAAGCGTTGTGGTGACTGCTTAAAGCACTACACTATCCATGTAGTCAATATTTTATAGGTAATGTTATGATGGGATTTATAATGTACTGCTACTATGCAATAATAAGTTAAAGTTTAATTTTTCTTTATTATCAAACATTCAGCCGTTAGCCTTTCTACCATCAGCCTCATAAGAATTATAATATTCATCACACCCACAGGCCTCTAAATTCCACATTAAATTTATACTAACCACCTTACTCATAGGTAACAGATAGTGAAGTTTGGCCTCTTTCCCATACTATATTAATTCAAATATAGAAATAGAGAGAGACAAATCAGAAAATCTATAATACTCTATTAATAACAATGTTTCTCTATTTCAACTGTTGGTCAAAGTCATTGCCATCATTTAAAGCATTGGGATCCTCTAGTTCTTCTTTAGCATCATTTTCTAATACAGGTTCATTGATAGGGTCTTTAGCACTAAGAGCAGCACTCATCTTAGGTGGTTGAGCTGCTGGAGTAACTTTTAGTTGAGAAGACGGATTAGGTACACTTTTTGTAGTTAATGCTGTTTTCAATTTTTCAATTTCTTTCTCTAATTCTTCAATTTTTTGCTTGCGTTCAGCCAATTGAGTTGTCAAAGTATCCTTCTCTAACCTAAGTGTCTCAACTATTGCAGTTTTACTCACCTGTAAGTTTTTTAAGGACTGCAATTCAGCTTTACATAGCTCAACGTCTACTTTCGTGTGATTTACTTGTGCCTCAGAGTTTGAAAGTTTACTTTTGTACTCGTTGATTTCATCAACAAATTTTCTTTTTTGTTTATCTAAATCGTTAACTTTTACCACATATCCATCTCGTTGCTCGAGTAACGTTAAGGATTCCTCCATACAAGATGTCTGTTGTTTGGAACATTCTTGGAGCTGTATGCTTATCTCTGAAACCCTGTTTCGCAAATCAGTTTCCACATTCCAACTACTCAACAGTGAAAGGAACAATAAAATACACACAGCAAACACGATGTACATAGGCCAACGACGCATATTTTCAATTCCCATGTTCTTTAAACAAGAGGTTTAGTCAACAGTAAAAATTAAGAGCCAAATGCCAGATAAAAGTATTTAACAATTATTGTAAGCTTTTTGGAAGCAAACACAATTTGATTACTTGACAATCATGACATAAAAATGACAAATGACAAAGTAAAAGGTAAATGTTGCCAAGTTAAGCGCTCATCTGCGGAATAGTTTCCTATTTTCTATAAGTCAAACAGGAATTATTGTGTTGTCATTTTTGAGTATGTAATCGTTCAGTGAACACCGCTACTGTTATGCCTATCTGCACACGGCCAGAAGCTTTACAAGCAAAATTAATCATTTTTAGCTCCTACTAAGTTCCCTTGAATGTATTTTTGAATTTTATTGATAACTTTGACAATACAGTAATTTATCTCTCTTGTCATGGTTTCACTTTAACCACTTTAGTTAATAAAAACTCAATGAATTTTATTTAATTTGAAAAATCACTTCAGGTCTAAATAACACTGACGTGACCCATCTGCTTCTTTGCCCCCTTATACCATAAAAAAAAATGTTGACCAACTTTTATCTTATGTAACGATTAGTGTTCTTATTTAATTTTCATAATTTTATTAAAGTAAAGTGATGCGATGTGAATAATATTGTAAATGTGTTGCAATGTGTGTGTTGCTTTAATTTGAGGCCTTCCTGTATTTTACATTATCTTTTTTATTTTGAGTTTTGCTCTTTTAGTTATCTGTGTGCCGGCAATCATTTTGATCACGTGACCTATTCTCTCGGGCCATAGACAGGCCATCCTTCATCGACTTCTTTGGTTTATAGCCACGAGGTTTTTAGAAATATTTCAATTTATTATTGAAATAATAAAAAGATACTTCATTTTATTCGAACAAAATGCCACCTAGTAATCCTTTGCCACCCAAAGAAAATGCGCTTTTTAAAAGAATTTTGGTAAGTCCAATTTGTAAACATTATTTGGATTGGAGCTGCTTGTCATTATTTGCGATTAAATTGCATTTTACAACAATGTATGGAAAGAGAAAACAGTTTAAATATCTAATATCAATGTCTTTTCATCCGGATAATTTACGGCATTTTTACAGCGTCATGTATCCTATTAACATTAATTTATTCTTCGTCAAAAGGCTACTAGGCTAGCACCCTTTTGGCTCCGTATAATAGAGGTTAAAATGATAAGTGTATTATCTTTCAGCGTTGTTACGAACATAAACAATATAAAAATGGGCTCAAGTTTGCGAAGCAGATACTCTCTAATCCAAAATTTGCTGAACATGGAGGTGAGTTTTTCTTATAAATTCATAATTTATACAAAATTTTAGTTGTATTGATTAGGTGTATCGAAATAAATAAGCCCCACTAGATATGAATTTGCTTGCATGATATTCGTGTATAACTTTGTCTTACACTTTTCAATTGTTGTGAATGTTAGAAAAATTGTTTTCAAAACATGTCTCAATGTTTGTTGTTGCTGTACCTCATTTTACCATAACATAATATACATCCTGATAAATATAATTTCCATTTGAGTTTAAACCCTGAAGACTGTATACCCTTCTGTGCATTTGCACAGACCTAGTTTAATTTATATATTTTATTTTTTATTTTTCTCAGGTGGATATTAGTTTACAGTAAGTGAATTATTTAAGACAAACATAAAATAAATTTGTTTGGAATTTATTTTCAGAAACATTGGATATTAGTTTACAGTAAGTGAATTATTTAGGGCAAACACAAAATAAATTTATGTTTGGAATTTATTTTCAGAAACATTGGCTATGAAGGGATTAACACTCAATTGTCTTGGTCGTAAGGAAGAAGCTTATGAATATGTACGTAGAGGTCTCCGCAATGATCTAAAGTCTCCTGTTTGTTGGCACGTCTATGGTTTGCTGCAACGGTCAGACAAGAAGTATGATGAAGCCATCAAATGTTATCGCAATGCACTCAAGTGGGAAAAAGAGAACATTCAGATTTTGCGTGACTTGTCATTGTTACAAATTCAGATGCGTGATTTAGAAGGGTATAAAGTAAGTTGTTAAAAGTATTATAAAAAAGTAGACTGCTCAGAATAGTATAAGTCCTGTATCACCAAATAAATATAACTCACACAATTATAATGCTATTACTCCACCACATAGCTGAATGAAAAATAAATTGTGTCTCTTTTAACTAATCCACTTCACACCATGTTAATTTGGTTAGCTGTACTAAATACATTTGTACCCAAACACCTAGTTCCCTAGATACTAGACACTGTATATCAAGTGTAGAAAAATATAATCAAGTATCTCACTGTTGATAAAAAATAAACTAGTTGTGGATATTATACTGGTAAAATCCTTACACTACTATAAATATAAAGTTATAAAGGTGTAAAAAAACTAGTATTACGTTTTCAGACCAGTGGATTGTATTTCTTATTGATATTTTTCATAAATTGATTTATCATCCTTTTTAAAGTAATGTAATTAAAATTATTATAGAAGCTAATCTTTGATATTCTATTGGTTTTACTTTCAGGATACTCGTTATCAGCTATTCATGCTGAGGCCCACACAAAGAGCATCATGGATTGGTTTTGCTATGAGTTACCACCTTCTCGGTGACTATGAGATGGCTAATAGCATCTTGGATGCTTTCCGAACTAATCAGATGAAGGGACCACATGATTATGAGCATTCAGAATTGCTTCTGTACCAAAATATGGTGTTAGCAGAATCAGGACAATATGATAGAGCTCTTCAGCATTTAAATAAATTTTCAAGTCAAATTCTTGATAAATTATCTATTAAAGAAACATCTGGTGAATACTATCTGAAATTGATGAGGTAAGTTATTACTGATTATTTATTTTATAGTTTTTGTTTCATACCAAAAGCAAATTTTATGTCAATAATTTAGCTTTAAAAAAATGGTTTAAAAAAAAAATCACAACAAATAAGAGTAGACACTCATTGTAGCAGATTTTCTATTAAATTTTAATGTAATTCTTTTGATTGGTGATTAATCTTAACAAAAATGTTATATCTTGTTGATTAAAGTTTTACTTCTCTTATGTTCTCATTGATCTATGTGTAAAACTTCCATCACAATCAGTTGGATAATTGGCACTTTTCATGCAACTTTTTGCAATCGCAATCTCTGAAAAATTGACTTTCAAACCACTAAGAAAACAGCACATTTCAACCTCAAATGCCATCAATTCAGTTTGTGTTTCTTGAGGACTATATTCACGATCTATGGGACCTGAATACTTTTTAGCACTATAATACGAAGAAAAACATGTGTATGCGCTTTCCTGTTTATTGTAAACAACAACACTGAACGACCACTGAGTGGTTCAGTGGTGTTGTTTACAATAAACAGGAAAGCGCAGTAACAAGTTTTCATGCACTCTGCAATAATCCTCTCTAGGTCTTACTTATATTTATCTACTGTACGTTTCACAGAGATAACCATATTTTGACTTACTATTTGAATGTTGTTGAAATTAGCTAAAAAAGTTTGTTTTGTGATTTTTCTATTAAATTTAACTCAAACTACATATTCTTTCTTGAAGCTAGAGTGCCTACCAATTGATTAATAGAAGATAGAGAGTGAAAGTGACACAACTTTGATCCCTATCTTTAATTTTTCTTTTATATTATATTTAAAGGGTTCTACTTTAATGCTATTATAAGTTTGATCAAATTTTTCTTCAGGTTTAGAGATGCAGAAAACGTTTATGAGGGTTTATTAAAGAGAAATCCTGAAAATGTAATGTATTACCAGAAACTTATGGAAGCTAAACGATTTAGTAATCCTGATCAAAAAGTGGCTTTCTTTGATGTATATAAGTAAGTATATAAATAACTCTATTATTTATTGCTCATTACAAATTAAAATTTTAGACTCTTCTACTATTTATACTTATAAGTTTGCATATTAGAGAATGCAGTGACTAGTGCACTTGCATTTTATTGCGCCTGAAAAAATCTTTTCACTCTCCTCTTTGAGATAAGGAGGAATAAGAAAGTTCCAAGTACTTCTATGTTAATCATGCTCTTGAAATGTAATCATGACATTCATAATTTTATATTATGAGAAGTATCCAAAGAAAGCTGTTTTTATAAGGTCTTTGTTAACCTTTACACCCTTTACACTCTGTATATCGTGATTTCAGAAAAGAATACCCTAAAGCAATTGCACCTAGGCGCCTGCAATTGACTGAGGCGCACGCGCAGCCCGTATTCGAGCGACTAGTGGACGAGTATCTACGACACGGACTGCATAAAGGAATACCGCCACTCTTTGTTGATCTGAGGTCTGATAATTAATATCTCCCATTCTATGATTTGTAAATTTTTTATTCTGAGTAAAATTATCATTTCTATTAAATAGAACCATTTGATCGTTTACTATTTTGCTATAAAAATAATATTATAATAATGACGGCGCTCATTATATTTTCAGATCATTATATTCGGATCAAATTAAAGCGGACACAATAGAAAAATTAATACTACAATATATAGAGAATTTAACGAGTAAGGGAACATTTAGTGCCGACCCCAACGAAGAAAAACAACCGGCGAGCGCTTTACTATGGGCGTATTACTATGCAGCTCAACACTTCGACTACAAAAAACAAACAGATGTAGCACTCCGTTATATTGATGCAGCGATAGAACACACACCTACGCTTATTGAATTGTTCATTGTGAAAGGAAGGATATATAAGGTAAGTTAATTTACTATATACATACAATGTCATACCCCAACTGCCAAAAGACTTACCTTATCCTACACTAAAAATAATAACATAATAAATATTTTCGGATATCTAACACAGGAGAGAAAGAAAGAATCACTATAGAAAGGCATTAAATCCAACAGAAGCTAATACAGCTAATTGTTACATACGAAAGCGTCGTATTCATTTTTTTTATAGCTATTTATTTTTACAACAGTAAAAAAGCAACAGTATGGGTTGTTTTATTTTATATAAATTGTGCGAAAGTTCGAAAATATCTAAATTAACAAAGTGATTGTTATTACTATTTATAAGACCCCACAGAGGTGCGTATCCCGGTGTTGTTTTCACATTTTGCAATTAGGGCTTTATTTTAAGCTAGCGTTTGCTCGAGCGCTCTGCTCGCGTGTAAATCGGTTATCGCTGTAAAAAGTAGCTTATGTCCTTCCTCAACAAACAAAGTATCTCAATCAATAATCAAATTTCATCTAAATCGGTTCAGCCGTTATTGATTCCTCATACAAATTTCCACCTCCCTTTTCATCCCCTCAATTATGATTTCTGGGATAAAAACTTATGTCCTTTCCTGGGACTCAAACTATCTCTTTGCCAAATTTCATCTAAATCGGTTCAACGGTTTAAGCTTGAAGTCAGGGTCACACTTTCGCATTTATAATATTAGTATGGATATTGATTTTGCTGTACGAATGACCAAAGCAGGCTCAATTGTATTCATAGGAATGAGTAAAACATCACGCCTGCTGGTTTGCCTCTATATTATAAAAATAATTCATCCAGACGTACCAATGTAAATTTTGTTTAGTTGCTCCCCTATCTAACAACCTATTAAGATAACAAAATTTAATTACATGTAGTGATTTCGAAGGAAAAAAAATTATATTAGGATTTCTTTTGTTCTCTTATTGTGTTAGCGTATTGTGTGTGTTTAATTTCCATTGGTGTCAGATCCAAGCCTTGGTTCAACAGATCCTGCAATACGGCGACAGGAATGTTACCAAACATAGGCTAATGCATCGACGAAAGGTGATATAAACACCAGCACGCTAAAAAAGCAACACAAATTTGCCTTCAGATCCCTCAAAAGTGCCATTGCCAGGGCGGAATCGAAGCACATCAGCCGGATTGGTGAGAGACTGGTGAGACTTCCTTCTGGTCTCTTGCCAAGGCAGTCCAGGGGAATTTCTGTAGCCTGTCCCTTCCACCCTTGCACATGGGCGATGATTCGTTGTTCTATGATGCCAAGGAGAAATCTGATCTAGGCGAACTCTTTGCGTCCAACTCGACTTTGGATGTTGGGGTAAAAGTATCGCCGACCATACCGCGATGTCAGACCTGTTAGCCGGCAATCTGGTTCACACAAAAATCAGTGCGTAAAGCACTCTTTTCCCTCGATATTCATAAGTCGAGTGGGCCCGATAGAACCTCCCCTATTGTGCTGAAGACGTGTGCTCCAGAGTTGGCACCGGTTTTAACTCACCCTTTTCGACTCCTACTCCCTAGGCGTCGTTCCGAAATCCTGGAAGGTAGCGTTTGCGCATCCGATCTCTAAAAAAGGTGACCGCTCTGATCCGTCCAACTACAGGCCTATAGCCATAACTCCCTTGTTCTCTAAGATTATGGAATCCGTAATCAACTGCCATCTGCTCCGGTACTTAAAAAATCACCAGCTACTCAATGACCGCCAAATATTTTTTTCGCCGGGGTCGCTTAGCTGGTGATCTTCTCGTTTATCTAACACTCTCAAAGCTCCCTTCCTATGGGCTTCCCGAGAAATTATGTAACTGGGTCACCAGTTTCCTTGCAGGTAGAAGCACAAGGTCGTTATCGATGGTGCATGCGCCGACTTGAAGTCAGTAAATGCTGGTGTCCCGCACGGCTGTATCACCCACACTGTTTCTTCTGCATATCAATGATATGTTACGAACTAGTGGCATCTATTGCTATGCAGATGATAACACGGGAGGTGCCTTTTATACCGGCCGTCCCAATATTTCTCGGGGAAACGGCATCGAGAGTCGAAACGAACTTGTGTCTGAAGTTGAAACTTCCTTAGCGCAGGTTTCCGCTTGGGGTCGACTGAATCTGGTTCATTTTAACTAAAAAAAAACACCACCGGTGGCTATGTCGGACTCGAACCGACTAAAACCGCACGCTGTCTCGGGTTCCAGTAGCCGGGGAACCAGGTGTACCCTAGAAAGGAAAGCCCTGGTACCTCGACGTACCTCGGGGCATCTACGGGTAGATGACCCCTCCTGTGTGGGAACCCCCATGTTCCCTTGGTGCTCAAAAAAGGGCACTCGCGCTCCGCAACGCGTCCGCCCTGCTTCTGCTAGGGTGGCAGATGGCCTGACCTGTCACCCCCAGGCCAGTATCAAGATACCTAAATGTAACTAATAAAGAGTTATAATAGCTTCAGTAAAACAAACAGCTTCGTATATGGTGTGTTAGTCGCACGACTATTAAGCACACAATAGGACATTATAAGCTCACGATCTCGTTCACAAGATCGCTACTTGCAAGACCTTCAGTGAGCCCACGTACATCACTAACTTCTTTTATCTAGACATATCATGACTGTTTTAGATGTCACCCCCAGGCCTGCGCTTATGGAGGACGGAGGTCGTTCTGTGAGCTCTGGCGCACGAGTCGTCTGCGGTACCTGGCACGTTCCCGGGCCTGGCGGGCCGGGAGAGTTCTAAACCTCTCCCGGTCCCGCTCCGCCATTTCCTTCGTTTGCCCCCTATTCCATAAAAAAAGCTTGAATCGAGTGAATAATATAATTATAATTTGCAGCACGCTGGCGATCCCGTGTCGGCGTATCAATGGTTAGAGGAAGCTCAGGCCATGGACACGGCCGACCGTTACGTGAATAGCAAGTGCGCACGGTATATGCTGCGTGCTGGACACGTGAAGCGTGCCGAGGAGATGTGCGCCAAGTTCACCAGAGAAGGTAAGTTATCTATATTGTAGCAATTTGTTCAAATCCAAAACTTCATTAAGGTATATATAATACTGGCTTTTCCCCGCGGCTCCGCTTATAAGTCGGTTATCGCGGCAAAAAGTAGCTTATGTCCTTCCTCAACAACCAAAGTATCTCAATCAACAATCAAATTTCATCTAAATCGGTTTAGCCGTTATTGCTTCCCCATAAAAAATTACACCTGCCTTTAAATTATGATTTTTGGCATAAAAACTGTCTTATGTCCTTTCCTTCGACTCTAAACTTCGAAACTATCTCTATACCAAATTTCATAAATTTCAAATCGGTTCAGCAGTTTGAGTGTGAAGAGGTAACAGACAGACCGATAGACAGACAGACTTTAGCATTTATAACGGATATTAGTATGGATTATTATTAGTGGTAGTTTGTTTTGTTTCGGAGAAAAGTTATTGAAGTTAAAGGACGAATTTGATCGAATTTGATCACATAAACAGACTGTTATTAACAACTAATTCTTACCAGACAACATTTCTCATTTCAGGAGTACCAGCTACAGAAAACCTGAACGAAATGCAGTGCATGTGGTTCCAGACAGAAGCTGCGGCTGCCTACCAGCGCTCGCAGCAGTGGGGCGATGCATTGAAGAAAGCTCACGAAGTTGACAGGGTATTTATCAGATTAAAACATACTTATTAGATTAGGGTATATTTAAAACCTAGATACTGTTTTATATTATCGAAATATATTTCATCTATGGATTGCGACATCACTCTCTTAAGTGATCTTTAAAATTTAAGAAAGAATTGTGGTGAATTTTGATAATAAATAAGCTTAAAAAGTAAAGTCACATGAACTATAGGGCTGAATTTTTTTTAAAAGGTATTCATGTCACTTCCAAAAGTTTCTGAATGAACAAATCTCCGGATGTTCAAATCACACTCAGTTCCATCGATATTTTTGGATGTTAACCAGTTCACCATCTTGCCCCTTCTCTGTGTTTAAAAGAGATAAAGAGAGAAACAGATTGTTAAATTATTGATTTGAATACTATTGTATAATGTGTGGTATCGCGAAAACATTTTCTCTTGAAGTCTCATAACACTGGACAGTATAATACATCATACGAGAAAAGAATAGGTTTCTCAAAAAACATGTAAGTATAATAACGGTATATAAATTTTCAGCATTTCTCAGAGATAATGGAGGATCAGTTCGACTTTCACTCGTACTGCATGCGCAAGATGACGCTGCGCTCGTACGTGGGGCTGCTGCGGCTGGAGGACGTGCTGCGCGCGCACCCCTTCTACTTCCGCTGCGCGCGCGTGGCCATCCGCGTGTACCTGCGCCTCGACGCCTGCCCGCTGCAGGACGCGCCGCAGACCGCCGAGCCCGACACAGGTCAGAGCCTTTGCCTATCTCTCTTCACACCTCTTACACACCAATACGACTATGGTACTTGACTCTAACCCTCGTAACTTGTTTTAAGGGATTTATACGGCAGATTACGTTGTCATCGTTGTGTAAATATATAGTAAAGTATCATGAAACTACGGATAAATGAGTTTATTTCTAACTAAAAATGTGACATTAACATTATCATCTTATCTACTTTCTTATCTAAAAGAAAGACATACACAAGATATACACAAGACAGTAAATTATCTTTAAAAAAATGTAAATAGTGCAACGGCCCTAATCGAGAGCCCGAAATGAGCCACTGTATGTAACAGTAAAATCATTAGTTCGAGTTCGATTGTTGTGATCAAATGTTTCAACCGTATATACTGCATAAACTGATACCAATTTTACTAATTGTAATCAGAATGATCACAATTGCATCTAAAGTTAATAAGAATTATATTTCATCATATTCACAAGTTTAAAATGACTGTTAAGTTAAATTGAACAAGTAATAAAATTAAGACATCAATTACACCAATTTCACACTTGTCCTTTTTAATATTAATGGTCAATTCTTATAAAAAATATTTTAAATGTGAGTATATATTATTAACCAAGTTCAGTTTTCGTAGCTAAAATTAAATTGTACTTTTTCCAAACACTTCTTATCTTCTTTACCTTTGTCTTACTCTAAAATAAAATCGATAGTTATTTTTAATTATCGACAGCTTCTAATAGTCCACTGCTGGATATAGGTATCTCCTTAGAAAGGAGGTTTTGACCCACTCTACCACGCTGGCCAGACTGGTTGGTATAGGGTTTGTTTCAAGTTTTCCGTCTCTTTGCACTGCTGATGTCCTGCGTAGTTTTCTCCCTTAGTCGGCTCTTACTACACCCACGGGATGAATAGGGGTGTGGTGACACTCCATACTCTTAATCCGTCACCACACGGTCATTTTTTTTTAATTCGCAATATTTTACCCTTTGAAAAAATAATATTTAAGAGACAGAGTTTATTATTCTCTGGTGCTGCTTATCGGCGTGGTATTTGTGAACGCAACATGTATCCTTACTATATTTTTAATAAAAAGTAGTACTTACTTACTAGTTAAATAAAATTGTACCTCGGTACGCAATCAGCTGCTATTACCTTAATAAGATCGAAAACATGTACATTGTAGATGTATATACTTTCCAATCTTGAATTAGAATACATTGTGTTTAAATACAGTTGAAAACAAATACTTTCGGTTGGCCTTGGTTGTAAACAAGGCTATGTTAAAATAATAATTTATATAAGTTTATTTCATTACCAAAAAAAAATAGACAAAAAGAAATATTAAATCCTTCAACATTAAATAATTTAGAGTAGTTATTATTGTTGAAAAACAATTTTAGAATTCTACATATGAAGAATTCTACATAATAACTATATTAAATATGCCTAAAAGCTGTTAAACCTCCAACTATGGCTAACTAAATACCTATTTTGTGTCGTTTTTATTTCTTTTGTTTCATGTTTGTTATATATTATTATCGTGAGACCTGCCACTGTGAAATAGTTATTTAATAATATTGTACTAGCTCTTCCCGCAGCTCAGACCTCGTGTATGTCGGTTATCGTGGTAAATCGTGTGGTTTAGGCGTGAAAGCAAACATAAAATAAAATCAAAGAAACAAACAAACTCACTTTCACATAAATAAGTGTGGAAGTATGGATTCACTACTATGCAGTCTTTATCTGATTCAGAACATAATAATCGAAGCAATTTCCTCAGACTATCTATGGTAGAAGAGTTACTGAATCTCATAAGTAGTTATTGCCTTTTTTTTTTATTTGCGATAGTTATTTGCCAGGATTAGCCTACAATTACCCTATAGACTAAAGTGCTACTCATATTAATATGGTGGCAAACAAGAACCGATCTGTCAAATGATATACCGTTACCGTTGATTATATTAAACCAGCCTCGTCATTTGCGCTTTACACTAAAAGCTACTTAAAACAGATTCTGCTGTTTAATCGTTGTCGTTCTTAGGGTCAAGGTACTTCCCCATTCAGTGTCTGTAAAGATCAAACGCAGTCTGTAAGGATCTTTTCACATAAGGCATACAGTCTCAAAACCACGTAAAGTGTTGTACTTTAGATAGCTATTTCTGTCTACTAACATTACTGCAATGTCGCAGAGAAAGTGACCGTTTGGCCTTGCACGTTACCTGTGTTCAGTTAACGTTAAATGTTTTACTCGCTTACATTTCATTTCAATTTCGTTCCAAGAGTGTCCTTGGCATAGATTTTTTGGCCATTCAATAGATATTGGGCATGAAAATATCGAATTATTTTATTTTATAGTAGGCATGTTCCCTTTTAGTACGTCATTTTATTTATTATATCTCTGCTATTATTTTTTTCCATCTTTTGGATTTGATTAAAACAAGAAACCGTTGAAAAAACATGTTTTTATTTTAAATTCTTTGTTTTGAAAATATAATACAAAATCACATTTATTTAACACCAATTCTTCAATAACAATATCATTAAAATTAACAATTGATACCATTATTACATTATATAACAATGCTACAATTTTTCCACACATATCACATCATACTTTATAATTCGTTGAATACTGACAAATAAATTAACTATCATAATGCATGCACCACAGTCTCTTAGAAATAATTTAATAAATAACGTATCAAAAGATAAGCGTCCGTTATGTTTCACAATAACATCGCTGAAATGTAACTCACATAAGCTTTATCTAGCTTTTTAAATATTATGGCAACGCGGGGTGTCCCGCTAGTCTTTTAATCCTTACACTACTTAGGACACTTTAACATCACATTTGCGCTTTAATATTTACACAGCACGTCGCAGTGCGACGCTTAGAGTTCAGACTAGAGCTTTGGTTTCATCGTCCGTATCCGGGCGATCTGTATCTCTCACGTGCCGCCTGCGCAGCTTGCGGCGTCAGGAAGTATACATGCGCACCCTCTCCAGGAAGCCGGTACGACACAAAGGAGCCTGGTCGACCTTCACCTACTGTATTAGCAGGTCTTATCCATTCTGCCTCAGGATTGACTGAGGGACGTGGCCTCTTATAGTTTACTGCTGTGTCACCTCCTAATGAAGGCCTGTTTAAATCATACTGTTCGCCTGTGAACTTAGGCCTCTGCACTCGATTTGGGGCTCTGTACTGCTGCTGAGTTCGGTAACCTGGGTTTGGTATCGGGATAAATTCACTGTCTGGATTAATAGTCGGTCGCGGGAGGCGATCGTTGACTAAAGTATCTTCCGCTAGTGATGGTGGCTTCTGATGTACTAGTTCGGCGTTAACTTCAGGCACAGGCTCGCTGTCGGGGTTAATCTGTGGCCGGGGCTGATGGTAGTTCACTAGAGTGTCTCTTTCGAGAGATGGTGGATTCGGACTTTGCGATTCAACAATCTCGTAGTGAAGATTAATGTTGTTGTCTATTGGCGTTCTCACCGTATCAAGTGGTGCCGTAACTGCCAATCCGTTAACGTCGTGAGTGTTGTCCTCTAGTTTTTTGCCGAATACATCGAATGAATTCTTTGTAATGTCGTCAAAGTACGTCTCATCTTGCTTGGTGTAATATCCTTGATGTACAGGATTCGGTGTGGTGCTGGGGAATCTCGTCACAAGTACAGGCACGGGTTGGTCACTTTGTATTGGAATTGGATTTCTATTTTTCTTATTTCTATTGTGATCATTGTGATTATGAGCGTCTCCATAGTAGTCATCGTGTACATTTGCTGTAGGGTAATATCTATTTGGCGTTTCAGTCGTTACTTGAACATTTTCGACTAAATATTGTTGGTGGTAGCTAGGTGTCACTGATGGCGTTATAGCGTTGAAATCGTTGACCGTATTAAATGGTTTACTATAGCTGACCATAGGTCTAAAAGGTTCAGGATCTAATTTTGGCGCACGGAACGGTAGGTCTTCTGGCTGAGTTTGATAACTGAACTGATATACCGGTCTAGATGTGATAGCTTTAGGCTTATGAGTGTTTGGTCTATGGGAATGCGTTTTAGGTCTCTTCGTTGTGAAGAAATCTATCGTTTGTTGTATATCAGCGATTTGTTGATAGAAAGCATCTGGCCTTTGTTTCGGCTGTTGCACGTACACAGGTTGTAGCTTCGGTTTTTGTATACTAAAGTATTCTTGTGTTAGCGTACGAGGTCCCTGTTTTTGTGGCCATAAGAAAAGCGCGTCAGCTTGATCAATACCACCGAATGAGACATCTACTGCTGGAGAAAATCCAGACTGTGTGTTGATATTTTGTTGTTCCGGATAGTTCGGTTGACTAACTGGGACTGTCTTGTAATAATTTCTTCCGTCAAAGTACGATACCGGTGAGGGAGATGATTTTGGTTGTTCGTCATAAAAATAGAATGACTCGAATTTATTCTCATTTGGTTTTCTGTTATTGTATACGGGCTGTAGTTTTGTAGTAGGCACATTTTGTACATTCGAGTAATGAGCCCTCAGTGGCACTTGTGTCGACGTTATATCATTAGCAGTAACTGCTGGTATTTTATGTGGCACGTTGTACAAAATGTATGGTTTTTCTGACGTTGTCGGTATTTTTTCGTTATACTCTGGCTGTGGATAATCGTAAATAACAGACACGGAGAGAGGTTTTGAGGTAACTTTCGTTCTAGTTTTATAAACAGGTTTTTCTGCTTTTGGCCTTGTAGTGTTTTCTTCTGGCAAGTTCTGAATTCGTACGCGTTGTCTTGTAGGTATGCGTTGTGGTTTCCTTGTTTTCGGCGAAGTAACGATTTCGACAGCAGATGGTGTTGTAATAGTCGACGGTATTTCAGTTGTTGTAACTGACTCGGTTGTTGTAGGGCGTGTCTTGTACTTGTTACGATGTATTGTGTGTGTGGTGGTTGGTCTGGAAGTAGTCTTTGTCCTCGTGTATGTTGTTGATGGCTTAGATGTAGTTCTTACGGGCTCCGTTGTAGTTTCATCTAACGGTGCGAAGAAATCTGGAGGTGGTGGTAGTACTATGCCCGGCACAAGTGGGCCAGCAGGCACTCTATTGTTGTAGTCGGCGTGGTAGGAAAAATTGTAAGGCGGCGGATAATAAATCGAAGGGTCGTCTTCGTCGTATAGGTCGGACTGGTTGCTCGGTGGTGGTAGGAACACTGCGCCCGGTGGAAAGCCTTCTGGAAAAGAGCCGTTCGTAGTTGGAGGGAAGTGGAATGCTCCTTCGCTCGCATTCACGGGTAGGAATGTGAACGGAGGACCTTGCTGCGGTGCTCCCCCGGAAGTAATGTTTTCCGGATTATCACTTGAGGGGTAGGGCGCGCCCGATGGAAAGAGGAATGGCGTAGGAGGTAGAGGGCCTTCGCCCGCTCCTGTAAAGAAGGAAGGGAATAAGGACGCAGGGATACTGCCGTTTGGCGTGAGGAAAACGAGCGGTCCGTTGTCGGAGAGTCGTACCGGAAAGGGCGGTGGCACTTTTGGTTTTTGCGGTAACTTTACTTGCCTGTTAGGCGCTTCATAGTTATCGATCGGTGGCCAGGGTCTGCCTTCAGTTTCTTGTGTTCGTTCAGGAAATGATCCACCTTTTAAGACTAATAAATGATCCTCGGCAAGCCATATTTCATCCTTTTTAAGGCCTCCTAAACTTAAAAGATTATCTTTTGTTCTTGTCTCAGAATTAGGCTCGTAACTAACGATTCCAGGTCGTTTAGGTGATTTAGCAAAAATTTCATCCTGTATGAGACCATATTTTCCTTCGGCCACTTGATCTGCCAAAGTTTTCCTGTCTTCTTCTTCTTCTTTCATCTTAGGAGCGTCTTTCCCTTCGCCGGCACTAGACATGAGCATGCCATCGTCCCATATTCCTTGGTTCCAGCCAACATTGCCGCCTGACTGGTCCGGCGTGATCACGCCTACAAATTTACCCGATTCGCTCTTACCGTCAAACGTTATGGCATTTTTAATAGAACTATACTCTTTATCTGATTTAATCTTCATATGACCACCGACGAGTCGTTTAATGGTCCGTTGGGACTCGGCGTGATCGGTGTCTGACGGCACCCTGAGGCTGCGCTGATCGCGCGCGAACGAATCAGGCGGCAGGACGTATGTAGGCACAAGCACACTGGCGCGCGTCTCACACGCCCATGCCAGCGCCAGCACTAGCGCTAACGCCGCCCCTCTCACCATCTGAAAGTTTGGAAAACATCACTTCTTAGTTATTGCACAAATAATTAACACTTAACACTAAACGTCAATCCATAAACTTATCTCAGGCGGGCTTTCTTTGTTAATCGTGTATAGTCGATCGGCGTTCATATGCGCGCGAAGTGAAAGGACCGAAGGAGACAAAAGCGTTGGCCAGTGTTTTGGGCACTGGCGAGCCGCGCGCCTCCACCCGCCTTTTATCAAGTTTTGTAGAGCGACCACCTCCGACCCGACTGGCATTGAGAATCAAGCGTATAATTGGAAATTGAATGGCGAATTAGCGACCGCTTCGAGACAGGAAGGCCACGAAGCCTTAATACAAAAAAAAGGCCTTACTTAATCTTTGTTTTGTTTAAATCTACTTTAATCAGACCGGGGAGTTCTATTGTTGAATAGTGACAGTACGGTTGCACCGGAGAAATTTTGATTAGCCTAGTTTGCAATCGGTAACCACAGAAATCTTCAACAGTTTTGAAGTGATTATATATATTTTTTCAATTCCGTAACGTAATCTTCTTGCCGCAGTCACGATATTATGCTCATATAATCTTCTGTGATGTTGTTTATTCAGTACAATCATGATAGTTAGTGGCGTGCAGATAACATTGGTCTATTTCAAAATAAACTCTGCTAAATTGCAACGCAAGCGACGCTCGCTATCGAGTTGTATTAAGCACTGTAATAGTAAAACTAGATATTGAACTATTAGGGCAGTGAAGGCAAAGTCGCCTGTGGTGTCCGGTGGGCGGGGTCGGGCTCTGTGAAAGGCGACGGTCACCTAACTAGATTTTGCCTTCGATAAAAGACAGTTGAAAATCGTACCAAAGTATGCACCGAACGTGGACTCATAGTGAGGGCGGGCTAGGCGGGCTGGGTTGCGTCGTTTGTCTGTGTTCTGACGCTTGCAATACTGCGCTCTATAGACGTTTTAGTTGGGTTTCGATTGTAGTACGCTTGGATACGAATTATATTACCACAATAGGTCATTGTGGTCTTTACTTGGTAAAAATTGTACACCACTTAGTTTCAATTTAATTCTATGTAATTTTCTTTACCACTTGCGGTTTTGCATAGTATGTAGGAAATAATTCTACTCATTAGCCATATTATTCTTATCAAATGTTTATGACTGTGAACGATTTGTTCGGCTTGTGCAAGAATTGAAAACCGATAGCTCACACTGATTTTAAAGTTTTACAGTGTTTCTATACATACATAGGTATGTTTATATATCAAGTAGCCTGTAAAGTTCACGTAAATACACTTTGTCTTGACATTTGTCTCATCTCGGTTGCATCCTTTCGTTTGCGATAACTAGTTTGCCTTCATAAAAATTTGTGTCGCGATTGTTCAGAAGCCCGGTGCACGGGACTGTGCGATTTGTTGCCGTAATTATTTGACATGAGCGATGGAAACTAAAACAACCGAGCGCGGCCTTGTTCCACAAGGTGCCCGATTTTTTTTTGCGGTCAGTACAAAACGTGAAGTGATTAACCAACTAGTTGCGCCTGGGAGTGTCACGGTGGCCGGTGCTTTCGATAGTGCGCCAACCTTGCCGCGATATGCGGGGCCGGAATAAATGTGCCTACAATTGTTTTATAACTTTTTTCGTATGTGTATAAAAAGCTTTCTTTGCGTTCTAGTTTCACTGCGACAGAGCGTTGGGAAATTCTCTCGGTTGTATTGTTGGTTATTTGTATTCAGAGCTCGGTGAGCCACGCTCGCGCTAACTTTCCATTGGCCTTTGTCTGTGTTGACTCAGGTTTAACCGGGGACATATATTGGTTGCATGTTATATTGCTATATTCTATTTAATGTACTAACGGGTTAGACTTTCTTTTTTGTCATATATTTCTGATAGAAATCAGACAAAATACAGAGAACGGCAATTGTCGTAGTTGCTTAGATAAGGTGCCAACACATTGAGGTTTATACTTTCATTCGTCATTTATACATTGATCTCTCCTCGAGTTTGCTGAACCCCATAAAGCGAACTGCCATTTATTTATTACAAACTATTACCGCCTTTTTGCGACATAACTGTTGACCGCTCCTTAATGTCCGGCACGCGTATATCGAAGGGATTACGCAATGTATAATAATAATGATTGCGATCGCCTATCAATAAAGCGTTCTTGTGTATGTTACGGTATTGGTTGAGCTTGTTGTCGCGCTATTACGAAACTGTATCAAATCGCAGTTGACTAAGCGTTAGAGCCCTCGAGCGTCGCAAATTATAACATTTTGTTTCTTGTCTTTATCAGACATATTCAATGTAATTCGTATACCGTTAGTCGCTTGTTTGCCACTTATGCCACTGTTATAAAATTAATATGTCATGAAAATTCTTGTAAAATTGTATATTTTACACAAAAAGGATAAGGTATGCATTAGTGTAATTATTATATTTAATAATAAGTTAAAAATAGGACGTTGATACTACTTCTGAAATATATAAAATATTTGCAATGAATTCAAATGCACTAAGCCTTTTATTTAATCGTTAGCACGACCAAGTTTTGTGGTAACTTTTTATGATGGCCAAACGCGAAGCGTGGCGCGTGATTGATCAACTAGTTTATTATAATTCTCTTTATTTCTCTCTATATTGATAATCTATTAAATATCTTTTAACTCGCTCTCCTTTAGTCTGTTACTAAAATGAATTGTCATCCATTGTTTTGTTATTATGTATTATGCGAGAAGCTTTGAATAATTAATTTTATAAATCATTAACTGGTCGAATCATAACAGTATATTTATGGATCTATTTATAGTTGCAATGAAGGAGCGTTTATCTAACAAAAAGATCAATCTAGCGCAAAAAAACTCTATATATATATTAATCAGACCAGCAGAAACATTCCTTTGTAGTCTATAAAATACCGGACACAAAGTAATAGTATCGAATAGCACATCAGACATGGTATTCAGTTCTAATCCTTAAATGTCAGAAGTTACGCACAGGTATTTGCCAGGTACAGAAACACGAGAAATGCTTATAATGTCACGGCTCGGGCAATAATTGTGGACAAGTCGTTCGGTCAAGGCGGTGCCATCTTATAACCAGTTTAATCAAATGCACCATCTTAGGCTGTTATGTCATTTTACCTTAAGTGTCTATTGGTCGACACTAACACATTGTTGTGTTTAAGACTTGAGTTTATTTAATGTTATTCTTTTCTAGAATTTTTTTTAGTATTACAAATCTTAATGATACTATTGACATTATATTAAATTAGCATTTATTCTCCAATGACATAGTACCCATTCAGCATTGAGGTTTGTCAAATTCGACCTTGCCTCAATTTTTTTTATCAAATACCTTTGTAAACAAGAACCGGCTAGTTTTACGTCATTATAATGTCCTGTTTTAAATCAAGCTTATTTTCAAATTAATTATTGAGAGACCGACCAAATGTTTCACGAATTTAGTTTATTACCATTTTTAAACGTGCTTTATTATCATCCAAATCGCCTTCCAATGAAAAGGCCTTGCATTTTAATGTGGGAATTCTTATATACATTCCTCCACTTGTTAACTCCAATTTAGATTATCTTTTGCGAATTTAGTAAGCAATTGCCGTAATGAAATATTTACTTTAGCAAACTATCTCCTTTGACGGTTGACTATTGCACAGTTCTTTGCTTCACTGCGTGGGTGCCAATGCTTGCTGCGAGGTACGCAGTGCTTACTGCAAAATATGTCATTAATAATAATAATTTATTATAATACTGCAGGTTACTTTTAGTCTATCCTTTTTATAAGTATCCGATTATTTGAAACCAGATTGGTAGACCGTTTTGTTACAGATATCTTAAGGTCATAATTATTTGAAAAATCGATTTTGTAGATCGTGACTAGTTACGGTCGTGGAGTGCGCACGCGCCGTCTCGGGGCCATTTCATAGTGAAATATTTCAAGCTATTTCTAATACGTGTTCTGTCAAGTATTCCATTGTTGGCAGATTTATGATTTATATGCATATAGCTTACTTTCAAGGTTGATCTTTGCTTCATATTGTGTATATTATAGATTATGATCAAATTGTATACCATGAGTTACATTTTTAGCTAACAGATTAATTATAAACAAAGAGCTCCATAATAAACTGTTACACTAATGATATGCTGCAATAATCCAGGATGTCTCGCTTGACTTAATAATATATTTGCTAATAAAGTAGAGCTCATGAAATATATATTTTTTATGAACGCCTCGATTACAGATTAAAAAAAAAAATGTATACAATGCTTTAAATCCCACCCTTGAACACAAAAACAACCTTGATTAAATGCTTCCTTTCGTAGTAGTCGCTCCATTTACCTAAAGATGTCACATTGCTCATGTCTAACTTAGTTTACATATCTAATCGGTGAAATGTCGGTGTAAAAACTAGTAATAAGTATATATAATAAGTATAAATAAAATATTAAAAAAAAATCTTACAAAATTCTATTACTCTACGTATTCCAATAAGAGCTATTGGGACGTGATATGCTTTAGTTATGTGCGCGCTTTCTTTTCTTTGGCTTATAACTTTCATGCTCATTGTTTCGTAATTGCCGAGTTCTTTCTTTGACAGTTTGTATGTAATGCTTGTTATCCATTCACGTGTCATCAGTAACATCTATTACCTCATCTCCTCCGGTTATGACTGTACTTTCCAAGTTTTTGTTTTTTTTTTTCCAAATAATGAAGGAGCGCTCGTACGTGCACTTCGTTAACTTTATGAACTTTCTTATCTGTGTACTAGTTTCTTTAACCATGCTTTTATTTCTTGTTGCAGGTAAGATTTTTTCCAAACTAACGTTTTTTTTGTAAGTACCAAAATATGTACGAAGCCAGATTTCATCGCGTTTAATGTGGGCGGCTCTTTTATTGCGCTCCTACTACCGGTGTGGTGAACATCAATTTACTGATTTCAAGTAGATAATCGAAGTTATTAGTTAGTTCTTTATTGTTTAATACGAGGCCTGTCTTGTGCAATAGGTTTCAAAATTTTTCCGCAGTTCTTGTGTTACTTTTTGGTGTTTTTCGGAGCGTGGCGGATAGTAGGCAACCTTAGATTGCGCCCGAGTCCTTCGCTCGGAGTCGTGCGAGGAAAAGCTGTGTATTTTAATAATAGCGAATTTCATAACATTGTATGCAATTACAGTTATCGCTTAACAGTCCTCAGCTATCGATTTTCACGCATGTTAAGTATTAGCTAATTTACACGTTACGTGGTATAGGGTTCGTAATGACGACTTATATTCGTTACGCCTATTAGCTGACGATGCGCGGCCGCATCTAATTGTTGAGAGCGTGTCTATTGTTTAACCTGTCACATCAGACACATTGAGAGTTGCTACATACGAAACAATTTGTCATTGTATATTGTTTGCAACTCTCTTAGGTTTTCGTAGACCTCGCTTATAAGCGACATGCTTGTCGACCGGTTTAATACAAGTGCTGCACGGTTTTTTGCTGCAATTTATCGTGTAGTTTTCATCGTTTAAAGCCGGATACGATTTTTTCTCGTCGAATATAAGAACTCATGACGCAAGTATGATTATTTAAGTGAACTTGTCTACTGGGATTTTTAGATGTTTATTTTCACTTAAATGTTAATATTGTCGGCTGTTTTGAATTTCATATTTGCGACTAAATAGAAAATAATGTATTTGAGACGATGCTGATATAAAATAGATAGGGCAATAAAATTATTTTAGTGTACGAATGTTTAAGAACTTCAGGTCATTTGGTATCAATATCTGAAAATGTTTTAAACCCTAATTAGATCAATAACTTCATGCACTTAACACTATTCGCGCTCATCTGAGTACATTTTATATATGTATTGAAGCTTCTCGATTTGTTCTCAACGAAACATCATAATTATCTATGACTGCATTCCACAGTAATGTAGGCTTTTATTTTAATGTGAATTAAACATATGAATACGTGGTCTTTTGCATTAAATTTTCCCATATCTTCGATAATACATAGTATCAAATAGTGAGAAGATCAGATCAAGACCTTTCTAATTGGTAGCAAGAATAGACCACTTTTTCTCGCCTATAATTTTGTAGTACGCCGGAAATTTCCATGTATTTAACCTAAATAGTTTATTGTTAATTGTATTATTTACGGATATTAGTTTGGTTATATCCGCGTTTTAATTGACGTTTGTTTCTTATTCACATGGTTTATCCGAAGGGAAATTATACGCGCCTTAATTTTTTTTTACTTCTAGTTTTTGTATTCGTACTACACGTGATTTCTGTTGTGTTTCCGCAGTTTGCCCTCAATTAGCATACATATCGTCATTTTTGTGAATATCTCATGACATATTTACTATGGGAACATAGTTTTTTTGATACAATTCTTATAGTACTGGTGCTACTATCATTTTGTTATGTCATGCAAAAACCCACGCCCGACTTTCGTAGTTTTGCTGTCGCTTTCATACTTTTGCATATTATATGTGATCGGAAGACAGCTATTTGTGTCTGTTGTCATCAGCATGAACGCTATTTTATACCAGACATCTAAATCAAAAGTCAAATATTTCACCTGTAAATGAAAAATGACTTAAAACAGGTGTTTTTAAAAGTACGATATTATAAAAATCCTAATTTTATTTACGAATCATTAAATAATAATGATGTTTATCTGATAATGTTTATTCTACCTCAGTGAATCAAGTTCTTTTCTTGTAGCGAGATGCCGCAATGTTTCTTTGAAAATCAATTAGTAGCGGATGGTTCGATGCGTGATATAACTCAAAATAGTAACATGTTTCACCGTTTCATATTTTCATTCAATAGTATATAAAATTGTCACGTAACAACTTCAACTTCACGTATCTTTGATTATTAAGTTTCGTCGCGTATGTTTTTAGATCCAGTTGGTGTTCCGTTATCGACGATCGTCGTTAACATTATAGTCAGAATTGAGCACGTAAACATGACGGTATTGGCTATTTTAATATACAGTACACTGTATTTTCGTATATACTACTATTCTTCACCTATTGTAAAATTTTCGGGATGACTAATTTGTTTTAGATTTGGCTCAAGTGTGCGTTGAAGCAATACACCTAAGCAAAGATGATTGTATTTCTTGTGCATTAAGCCTAGGACCCATTAAGCTCTAATAAAAACTTAATACCTCTTCAGTTTTTACATGATATTAGAAGTCTTGAAAATTATTTTAGTAGCTAAATTATTTATGTAGACAATCTTAGTACTATAACTAATAGTTATGTATGTGATGTATACGAATATACATTTATTTAATATATTTATATACATTAATTCTGTATTAAACATGGATCGATATTAATACATAATGAGAAGATTGCCCAAAAATTAAACTATAACCGGATTTATTGTTGCACTCGCTGTATGTAGTCAAATCTAATTTAAATTGAAAACATGTCATATCGGAGCACATTTTTAGACTATTAAGCAACACAACTCGCACAGTTTGAAATACTTTTGTTTAGATTTTCTCACAGGTGTTTGTAGTGGCGTCATTGGATTTTATGTCGAAGGCTGGTGGCTGTGAAACTTTGACTTTAATATTTGTGTCGTGATACCGGCTGCATTGTTTCTGGAGTCGCGCTCATTGTGCCGAAGTCGGCGTCTAGCCCGTGAGATCTGGGTCTGGGACCTAACTGGAAGCATGCGATTGTCCTCATGCGTTCGCTCACTAATTCACTATTAAATAACGCACCTAACAATTTACGCTAATATAGGCATTGTAAACAAACACAATCTTACATTTGCTGATAAACGGTTGAGGCTGCGGCTGTAATCACTGTTCTTCGTCACGTTCAGTCGCACATCACACGACGACGATGTAAAGTCACTTCACTCGAGTTGTATTTTTCACTGATGATCGGTCACTGGCACATACTGGGGATGTAGTGTCGCGATGTCGCTTAGCGATGGAATGTCGATAGTGTTGTGTCCCGAGGGTCACCGCGCCGGTCAGTGGTGGGGTTCACGTGTGTTCAGCAGGTCGCGCGGCGCATGAGTGGCAGCGGTGGTAGGGGCGCCGATGTAAATACGCTGTCGTAGCGCGTGCGCGCGCCTACGCACACTGCTGCGTATGAAGCGCACACTGCTGTGCTGCCGTAGCTACGAACTACCTACCGATGAGACACATAATGTAAAAAACATTTAACGACAGAGATAATGTTAGGACCCTAATCCTTTCTTAAAAATGAATATTTTAGTTAAATATAAGTAAATTAATAACTGTAATGTTAAAAAAGGGTTTTTCCAGTTTGTTTTGTCGATTTGGATCCTTATGATAAAGTACTATTAACAAATTATATCCATATTGAAGTATTATATTTCAATACACATTGATATCCAGTTTCATATAAACTTACGTATTGATGAAACAGGTGACACAATTTAGTTAAGTGGTGATCTGACTAAGCATTAAATACTAGATATAATAATTCTTAGAAATTCTTTAACGTACAATCACTATATTCTATTGCATATTGCAGTTAATCTGTCCTCTTGCTCTGTGTCGACTTATTGACAAGGGTGTTATGTTTGTAATTTCACTATGTCATATTACTGCCCGAAAATCTTCGTATTAATTTTAAGTTATTATGGTTAGGCTATTGACATTTCTTGCCGATATCTCCAACTAAATGTTTATCATGATTTCAAATGTATAAATTTTACCGTATTGATGATTTATTTTTTCAATCGCGGCCTTGAGGTCTACCTTGAACTTGAGTTCAAGGTCACCCTTGCCCTGTCTTATAACTGGTGAAATGCAGTTTACAAGGAGAATTTTCAAGGAGGCATTTCATACGACCATCTGCAAGTTGCGCAAGCTCCGGACGAGTCATCGACACCGAGGCGTCCTCGGAAGGTCGTGGACGAGCCCCGTACGGGACTAAGCGCACATTTACATTAGGCACGTACCACACTGGTGATTTTAAGTTTTTACGTCTATTCAATTATACTTTTTATCCAAACCCATATTGTAACAGTAATCATATATATAAGTAATAATCATGTATTCCAAGTAAATTGGTTGGATGATCGAATTTTGAAGTTTATTCTGTAAGTCGTTATCTAAAGCTTAGAAAATGCCTGTCTTAAATTTTATTGTATTTTATAGTGATGCTTATTTACCGCTTTGCCTAAGTAGTCCCTTAAAAGACCAAATAAATTACAATAAAAAAATATTCTTGTATATATTAAATAACATGGAGAACAAATATAAATGTAAACATACAGTTAACTTAAAAACTATTACCATTTTTCTTCTAAGAAAGACAACTCCCGCGCTAAGAATACATGCCTTGTCGCGGTAGACTTCACAAACATTCTTGAAACGGAGAAAAGGAATACCCAGACTCAGAACAACAATTTGCGGATCACATAATGTTGTAAATTTGTTCAATCAGTGGTCATATTTACAGAATACGGTTGGTGTGTAGAGAGCCTAACGTATTATATTCACAAAACCTTATCAATGTCGTATATCAATATGTTTATATGTTGTGTGCGGAATGCCGGATCTAGCTTTTTTAAAGGTCGTTGGTACTTCTTTTTGTACAAACCCTGCGAGAGTTGGATTTTCCCGTAGGGGTTGGTGACTTTAATTAATTGGATACTATGTTTTGTATCCGGCTGTTTAAAGTTTACACACTAAAGTAATTATAAAAAATCTGTCAATTAATGTCCTGGCTCCAGTCTCTATTTAAGCATTTCTTTCAAGTTTGCATCTTACCTCGTGTTGTGGTTTTCAAAGTGTATTTAACCATTTAAGTACCTATATAAATATACGTAGGCAAGCATTTAATAATATGGAAAAGTCATTGTAGATTTATAGTAAGATGATGCAGGCGAAACGGTTGTCTAGAAACTAATGTAAAAGCTCTTTTAGTGCAGTACAACGTCTGTATTTTTTAAATGTTTTAGTTAACTATATTTATAGGGTTGCATTACTTACTCTTGTTATGCACATTTGCGCATAATGTATCTTCATCAGGGTACATGTGTCATTACTTAATCGTGCTACACAAAACAGCTTCGTATAACCGAACAACAGTATATTTTCTTGGTTTTAATACACAGTCAACAAGTAACGTTATTTTCACACCAGTCAGTTCGATTTTCATCTAAATAAGAAGGTTAAAAATATGATTTGTTCTCATTTTACAGCAGAATTGCGATAACTTAAGTGGCACTTAACGCGTGGAATTCTATCTACTTGTCCGTTACTCCGCGAGTTGGAAGCAATTCACGATGCTCGTTTGTTATTTTGATTGTTTTTTTTCTTCGAATCGTGTTTAGGTGGTGTCGCCGCGGCGCGTCCGTACCACATTCCGCGACACCGAGGCGCTTGCCGGCTCTGACCGTTTGACCACTTCTTACCTTTGATGGCCTTACTACGAATTAAGATGTCGAGATCATCTCGCGTTTTTGTGATTTATTGATTCTTAATCTGGTAATATAGATTTACTTATACATTGCTTTAGTATAATAGTAATGTTGAAGTAATTGTCTATTTTTAACTAAGATTTCGTTGAACTTATAATACTCATGTCCGCTAGATGTGATTCACTGCCCTTAAATTGTTATAATTATGATTATTGAGTGAAACCAACAGCTGCGGTTTCGTATGTCTTGGAAGAAATTCAGTTTTAATAATGACATTACATTGGCGTCTGTTCAAACATTAGTCAGTTTCCAATTTTGATGTGACGTTGAATTATTAGGGTTCCATAATTCACCTGCCTGGGTTGTTTACTAAATATCACAAGGCAAAGCACTTGAACTTATTTATAGAAATATCGACAAATAAATCGAGAAAATTGTAATGCGTATGACGTAAGTAACACGCCTTTGCAAATAAGGATTAGATTCAAATGCGTTCATTTTCTACTCACATTTCATATGCTTTTTAACTACTTATAAAATAAAGATGCTAATATGGCATTCGAGTATCCCTAGTAGGGTAACAGATCCGAGGAGGCGCCGACTGTCCCGCGTCCGCTAAAATTTGGCTCCGCTTAAATTATGTAATCGAATATTCATGACGGAATATTATTATATTATTTCATTATTTGTGGTGCATGCTTTTTATTATACTACTAGTTGTTGTTTACGGTTCCTCCTGTGCCTTTTAAAGTTTTTAAAGTCTTCTGTGGTTAACCGTATTTTTTTCCTTATTGAAGATTCTGTGGCCCCTATTTTCAAAGACGTCCCAAGTATCGGTTGAACTCTGATTGCCTGAAACTAGTTTTAAGTGCAGATCAAAACTTAAGTATCGATCTTATTATAGAATGCGTTTTAAGTTTTACTCAGTTGAAACTAGTTTCAAGTATTGTTTTGAACTTACAGTCTGTTCTCAATTGCGTTTCCGCATGATTGACATAATTATTCTGTATAACGCAGCTAAGTATTTAAAAAATAATTTCCTTTTACAGACATAATTTCTGTGAATTTGTATATAGTATACTATTGGCTAGTGTAGCAATGTTATCATATTAACAAGCTTGTTGTTCGTCCAAAATATAATAAATATTAAAATAAAAATGACTCGATGTAGTCTATAACGGAACGTTCAAGTTATTTATCAACACTTGTCATGTTGAAATTTCAAACAGTTTTTATTTATGTGTATCTTAAATTTATATTACTAGAATGATATTATACTTTTAACATTTACCCAAAGGTTGTGGTGATTTTAATTTAAACAAGGAGGGTGTGTGAAAAATGTGAATTTCAGTGATTTTAATATCAATTAAGGTAAATTAAAGTGGATTGATTATAGTAATACAAGCAATTCTTTCGTAAATAAGGTAAAGTAAATCTTTCATAATAATTAAGAAACAAATAATCGTAAAACATATTCATTTCCCCTAAACTGCCTGTCTCACGTAAACAAAGATCACAGCTGTCAAAATCTATACCTCAGTAAAGATTTCGACATAAACATCGTTCTATAATAAGCTATCACTCACTTGAGTATGGATCGGTAAATCTCGTTTTAAGTGACGTTCAACAATAAAATTTCAACTTAAAATTAGTTTTATTACGAGATTCACGTATGTTCTGTCTGGGTTTGTAGAAAAAAAAATGTGAGACTAAGTTTTAGTTTTTACTAGTATTGTAGAAACAATATCTACTCACAAAACTTTGAAGACAATTTATTCTCTCATGAAAATAAATACCCGGTTACACTGCGATAAGTTGCCTCAAGAAATAACTAGTGATATCGTGGACGCTTCCAATTATAGACTATTTTTTTTTGAATGTCACTTGTAAAACTTTTTACACCAATACACATACAGAGGTATGTTATTTTTAGTATACATACGAATATGAGTATTATTTTATCATTTTTAAGTCATAAGGTACAGGGTAATCAATTCATGTTGCCTTTTGATATTAATAATTATAACTTTATGGTTTCATTGGTATTTGATATAAGATATTATAATTTAATGAAAGGTAAAAATGTATCCATTGTTTTTGTTGTAATTATGGTTAGATTTAAGTATTTTATTCGGAATTATATGTGTTTTATTTGATCATTTATTAATTTAATATTTAAGCCGACTGCGAAAGTAAGGTGTATTTTTTTGTAGGTAAGTAACGATAATTTTAATGATAACTTTAGTAGTTTTGACTCCTGATTGATGTGTGTTGTTGTGACCTTGATTGATGATGGTCAATTTCAAATACTACGTTTTTATTATTCTTCGAGAGAGGGAGGCATTTGCCCTACAGTGGGACAATACAGGCTAAAAATAAATTAAAATTAGTGACAGTGCAGAACAAACAGATAAAATTATAAATCAACGATTTTAAAATATTTAATCTAATAATTAATCGTTTTATTGTTTGTCATCTCAAATCTTATTAAGTATGTTAAGTAGATATATTATAAATTCAACAACTCTATAAAATTATTCCGTAATGTTCAAAACATGACTGTTCCATTAATTTATATGAACTTGTTATTCTTTTTTATAAAATCTATAAAAATGTAGTACATATAAAATGCGTATGAGATTTCACATCAGATACATTCTTAATACTATGACATAATATTCCTCGATTGCCTGAAGATTTAGTTTTATAAATGTCCTTTAGTCCGTTTTTTACCGGACTTTAGATAATTTTAGACTTTCACTAATATTCATCATCTTCTTCTTCTTCTTCGCAGCCTTTTCCCATATTTATTTAAGGTCGGCGCAATGAGCTTTATTTCATTTTCATTCTCCTCTGTCACTACACAGATAAACATGACAAATTCTCTTTGACGCATTCCTTAATTTATTTATATTAATAATAAAATATCAACGCGGTACTCATAACAAAAGACATTCTTAAAATTTCACATGTTACAAATTATTTTCATCAGAAACAAGCACAGTTCCTCACATGTCTTTGTGACACTCAGCATAACGGTACGTGAAGTCATACTGTGAGAGGGGGAGGCTACACTGCTAACAGGACTGTCGCAGTTGTCGCATAATTGACAAGTCCAAAGACCAAGGGTCTTACCTCTCGTAAAATCAAATAAATATACAACCGTTTTTTTTGCAAGGCACCTATTATAACGTTTAATGTCAAAGTTGCCTAACCCTCGGGTGGGAGCAAAACCAAGTATTTGAAAAATTCTAAATTATTCCCATAAACAAGGCCTCAATTTATTGACTGTTGATTTTTAATTCATCAGTTGTACGTATTCGCAATTAGTATGTTAGCATTGCTATATTATATTTATTTTATAAAATAAATTTTCTCTGACTGATAACCACACATTTTTTTAGTAAAGAAGAAACACTAAAGAGAACAAAAATTATTTATACAACTCTAGATTAAATGTGACTTTAGCACTTTGTTGAAATGCTATAAATTAATGTTGTTTCAATCTCAAATCTTACAAATCGTAGAATAGATTACGATTTGTAAGATGTATGAATTTATATCATGGTAAATAAAAACTTCCTATTGGAATCTCGTGTAATATACACATACATGTAATGTCTAAAAACATATTCTGATGTTTATTATCAACGATTAAATCAACAATTTACGATCTATTAAAGTCTTCAGTTATCTTTCGATTATATGTATGTACTAGCTGGGACCCGCGGTGTTACCCGCGTTTGTTGTTATAACCGCGGACAACGTCGCGGGGCGAAGCTAGTCTAAAAAAAGTAGCCTAAGTTACTCCTTATGTCATCAGCTATCTGCCAGTGAAAGTCCCGCCAAAATCGGTCCAGCCGTTCCAGAGATTACTCGGAACAAACAGACAGACAGACAGACAAAAATTGTAAAAAATGTTATATTGCATTTAGTAAGAAGCGGTTATTTTAATATTACAAACAGACACTCCAATTTCATTTATTAAAGGTATGGTAATTATAATAGTTGTCAATCAATCATTAAATATTTTAAGTTTACCATTTAGCACTATGCTTGAATCATTAATTCAATTGTGTATCTTTCATACACATTCTCATGGCGTTTTGCAATAATAAGCCTTGTTCCAATTAGTTTCCTCGGATATTTTAGCACGTTACGATGTGTTAGCACCTGATGAAACTGCGATTTTATTATGCAAGTAGAATTTACACCTTAAAGACTTTAACTTGACTCTTAAATAAGTAATAATTTGCAGTTTTAAATTTACCTATTATGTGTTCGTCATAGAAGATAAACCCATGTTTAAATTTTCTTTATTTTAAAAGAAATAGTTAGAGGAATAATTCCGTGATACATGTATTATGTTGCAAACTAGTGCACAGGCCATTATAGTCCCAGTAGGCATGAGTTTTGTCCATATTCGAGCAAATTACTCCTTTTTTAGAAATTGAATGCTGAACCTAAATGTTCTTCCTCATGAATACTGTCATGTGGTGAAAACCATATAAAAATCCGTTCCATGCTTTAGACTTTATGGATTTGTGTATAGTAAAGACAGATAGGCGCGTCGGTAAATTTTGTTTTATACTGCCACCCTTCGCCTGTGCATATT